TCTTCCAGAAGTGTTGAGAAATTGTAAAAATAGATCTGATAGAATTCTTCAAAGACTTCCACTCTTCTGCCATTGTTAAGGTTTAAACTCAACCTTTCTTTGTCTCGTTCCGAAGAAAGGGGGAGTCTTGGAGGCTAAAGACTTTAGACCAATAAGTTTGATAGGGAGCATTTATAAAATTTTGGCTGAGGTGTTGGCAAGAAGGCTAAAAGAAGCCCTAGGAGACCTAATTTCCCCAAATCAATTTGCATTTGTAAAAGGAAGGCAAATTGTGGACAACATTCTAATTTCAAATGAATGTGTGGAAGATAGGAAAGTTTCTAGGAAACCGGGGGTCCTAGTCAAGCTAGATCTTGAAAAGGCTTATGATAATGTGGATTGGGATTGTATTTTAGAATGCCTGAAGATGAGAGGCTTTTGTAGGAAATGGATCAGGTGGATCAAAGGCAGTATTGGCTCTTCATGGTTTTTAGTGCTGATTAATGGAGAACCTAAGGGCTATTTCAAGGCTAGCTAGGGACTCGGACAAGGTTGCCCACTTTCCCCTTTTCTCTTCACCTTCGTAATGGCATCTTTAATTATCTTTTTGATAATGCCTATCTTCTTAATCTAGTGAAAGGATTTGAAGTGGGAAGAGACAAGATTCACATCTCCCATTTACGATTTGCTGATGACATCATCTTATTCTTGGATATCTCTTTAATCAACAACACAAACACAAATAGGGTAATCATTCAACAAGAAGGCTGCTGCTTGGTGGGAAGAATGTGAAGTAGAGGGCTGGATGGGATTCAGGCTGTTACAGAAATTAAAATACCTAAAGAGAAATCTAAAATCTTGGGAAAGAGAAGAGTTTAAAGCTCATGAAGAAGAGAAGAAAAGAATTTTCTTGTTATTAGAGGAGAAAGATAGTAGAGAGCAAAATGGTACCCTAGATAACTCAAGCAGGAGTAGAAGAGCTGATTTGAGGAAGGTGTGGGAGAAGATGGTTAGAAGAGAAGAAATCTACTGGAGACAAAATGAAGAGTGAGATGGCTGAAAGAAGGAGCCAATAACACTAGATTCTTTCACACTTATGCCTTGGGAAGGCGTAGAAAAAATTTCATCTCTAAGATAAAAGTGGACCAAGGGGAAGTGGAGAATCTTGGGGAAATTAAGGAAGCCTTTCTCTCCTTCAAAAGTCTGTACTCAAGGGACAATAATAACCATTTCACCTTGAACAGATGGGAAAGTACAGTTCTATCAGCTGACAAGAAAGCTTGGTTGGAAAGAAGCTTCTAAGAGGAAGAAATTAAAGAGGTAGTCTTTAGTATGGATGGAAACAGGGCTCCTGGGCCTGATGGCTTCCCCTTATTTTTCTTTTAAAAATGTTGGGAAAGTGTTAAAACAGATCTGATGTAGTTTTTCAAGGACTTCCACTCCTCTGTCATTGTTAATAAAGGATTAAACTCAACCTTTCTTTGTCTCATCCCAAAGAAAGGGGGAGTCTTGGAGGTTAAAGACTTTAGACCAATAAGCTTGATAGGGAGCATTTATAAAATTCTGGCTAAGGTGTTGGCAAGAAGACTCAAAGAAGTCCTAGGAGACCTAATTTCCCCAAATCAATTTGCATTTGTAAAAGGAAGACAAATAGTGGACAACATTCTAATTGCAAATGAATGTGTGGAAGATAGGAAAGTCTCTGGGAAACCGGGGGTCCTAGTCAAACTAGACCTTGAAAAGGCTTATGACAAAGTGGACTGGGATTGTATTTTAGACTGCCTAAAGATGAGAGGCTTTGGTGAGAGATGGATCAGGTGGATAAAAGGCTGTATTGGTTCAACTATCAAAGGAAAGGCTGTATTTGTTCCTCTTGGCTTTCAGTGTTGATTAGTGGAGAACCTAAGGGCTATTTCAAGGCTAGCAGGGTGCTCAGACAAGGTTGTCTGCTTCCCCCTTTTTTCTTCACCCTAGTAATGGAAATTTTTAATTATCTTTTTGAAAAGGCCAATCTTCTTAATCTTGTGAAAGGTTTTGAAGTGGAAAGAGGCAAGAGTCACATTTCCCATTTACAATTTGCTGATAATATTATTTTATTCTTGGATGCCTCTCTAATCAACATCACAAACACAAAGAAGGTAATTGAATGCTTTGAATCAATCACTGGATTAAGGGTTGACTTCTCCAAAAGTGGTCTAGTAGCACTAAATGCAATGGAAGAGGAGCTTCTAGAAAATTTTAAATCTTTGTTGGGATGTAAAGAGGAGAAACTTTCTATCTCCTATCTAGGGATGCCCCTTGGAGGGAATCCAAAAACCTTCAACTTTTATGGGCCGGTGATAGAGAAATGTGAGGAGAAATTAGCATCTTGGAAGAAGTGCTATCTTTCAAAAGGGGGAAGGCTTACTCTCTTAAAGGCCTCATTAGCAAATCTGCCAGTCTACTTCCTTTCAGTCTTCCAGATAACGACCAAAGTCAAAAATCAGATTGAGAAGCTTCAATGAAATTTTGGGAAGGAGGAGGGGAGAAAAGAAGCCACCTAGTCAGTTGGGAACAAGTCTGCAAGCCTAAAGAGGAAGGAGGTTTGGGAATTAGGCACTTAAAAGAGAAAAATTCCTCTCTCTTGGGGAAATGGCTTTGGATGTTTCCTAAAGAATCCAATGCTTTATGGACAGCTGTCATCACAAGCAAATATGAATCAAATACAAACGGGTGAAAGACAACAAATCCTTGGAAAGGTATAGTCTCCACTCACACCTTGTTCTTTCCTTTTATAAGATATAAAGTGGGAAATGGCTCAAAAATAAAATTCTGGAAAGACCTCTGGTGGGGAGATTCTACCTTAGTTGCCTCTTTCCCCAGACTTTTCAACCTCACCCTTGACCAAGAAACCACTATTTCTTCCTACCTTCCAGACCAAACTGCTGAAAACACCCTAAACCTTTGCCTTAGAAGACTTCTAAGGGACCTGAAGATTTCTGAACTAACTGCTCTTTTTCAGACCCTTAAGGAAGCCTACATCTCCCCCTCCTCCTCAGATACCCGAGTTTGGACTCACCACCCAAATGGCGTTTTTCTTCTAAGTCTATGTTCAAGGCCCTGACTGCAGGTAAACATCACTCCTCCTTCCCTTTCAAAAAGATATGGTGCAGCCATTTCCCAACTAGAGTCTGCTTTTTTGTATGGGAAGCTTGTCTTCATGGATTAAACACTTATGATCTCTTACAGAAGAAATACTTGGGAAGACTTTCTCTCCTCATGTCTGAATCTTATGTTTGAGTGAAGGTGAATCAGCAGATCACATCCTCCTCCACTGCAAATTCACCCAAAACATCTGGCTTTACTTCTTGAGAATGACAGGTTACAACTGGGTTATATCAGAGCACATTCAAGAGTTCTTGCATCAGTGGCCAGGAATAAGACTAAGCAAAAGGGGAAAATTTATTGGCAATCTGTGCTTCATGCAGTGATGTGGGGATTTTGGGATGAAAGAAATAAATGCCTTTTTGATAATAAATTTACTGGCTGCTGTACAAGGAATCCAGCTTGCAAATCAGCTAGGCATAGAGCATCTGATTATTGAAGGGAATTCCCAGGTGATAGTGGGTTGGTTGAAGGATCCAGACACTGTGATTTGGGGTTTTAGAGATCTTCTCAAAAAGGTTAAATGGTTAACAAGGAATATGACAATCAGAGCTCAGTGGGTAGGCAGATCAGCAAACTCATTGGCTGATTCGCTTGCAGAACAAGGGGTTTCCTGGGATACTTTATTTTGGGCTTCAGTGTAATTTCTTTTTGTACTTATAATTCTGTAATTAGCTTTAAAGGAAAGGTCGCATCTCGTGCCTTTCCACGGGTTGCATGTAACTCTTATTTGCTGGTTTAATAAAATTTCACTCATTTATAAAAAAAAAATAATAATAATAAATTTAGGCCCCTCAGAGAATTAATTTCAGATATAATGTACCTTTGTAACCTCTGGACAGTCAATTCAGAGTTGTTCGAAGGAATTCCTTTCTTTTTCTTCCTCACCCTCAACAAGCAATTCCGAGGCAACTGGTTGTTCTCAGTGATGGAAAGGTGACCCTAAACTTTGATGGGGGCAACATATGCTGGACTTTCAGTGGTCCAATTGGATTGGCTGGTTCCACAAAGGCTGAGGTGATGGCTGCTCTTACTGGAATCAGAATAGTAAAAAATTTGGGAATTCAGAAGCCACTGTCTCTTCCCCAGACTTTTCAACCTCACCCTAGACCAAGAAGCCACTGTCTCTTCCTGCCTTCCAGACCAAAAAGAAATACCTTTGAATATGTGCATGCTAAGTGAAGTACTAAATGAGATCTATCAAAAAAAAAGTGAAGTACTAAATAAATTAGGTGCGATTTGACTATACTAAATAAATTAGGTGCTATTTGACTATGACTTGGAAAAAAAGTTTTGGATGTCAATGTTCCACTTAGTGGTTGTTTTGTTTGGACTGAGATTCTGGCCTTGATGGTGGTGCAGTTTCTGTGTGTAATCATTAGTAAAATCTTACATCATTATTCACGGAGTAAAAGGCATCTCTAGGTTCTAGAGCACACAGTCCATTGTCTATTGTTAATATTGGATATTTGGATTTGATATGAAGATATTGTCGATTTTTTAGGGCAAGGTAATCAAGGATATTGATTTATATTTATCCATTTTTTACTAAAGTTGACTTTCCTGGGCCTTAGTTGATTAGAAGACTAAAAAGGGATACTGGGCATGGGAAATTGGAGGGAATTATCTTATGGCTTATAGGCATTATATCTTCCATTTGTTTAAACTGTCTGATTTGAAATAGATCTCTTATTCCAATAGTGCATAGTAGCCTTTTATAATCTCTTGAACCTGATATTCTGGTTATTCATATTCTTTTCTAATCACACTCATTACTCTTCTGATAGTTATTCTTTTTATATTTTTTTTCTTTTCTTTTGGTAAAGTTGCTTTATCTTTTTCAAAAAAAAAATGTTTTCTCTGTCTTTGTTGAACAGTGATGGGTTCGTTGGAGCATTCCTTGTCAAGCTTGTCCATTTATGGTTCTCTTAAGGCAGATGGAGAAAGTTTTGAACAAGGCATTAGAAAGCAGGGCTATGGAAGCTTAGATAGTTCAAGTGGAAGCCCTGGGGGTGGATCTGGTGGAACTATCCTTTTATTTTTGCGTGCACTGGCCCTTGGAGACAATGCTGTTATTTCAAGTGTTGGAGGACAAGGTAGTCAAAATGGTAGTGGAGGTGGTGGTGGCGGTAGGATTCACTTTGATTGGTCTGACATTCTGACAGGTGATGAGTATCAGCCCATAGCAAGCATCAAAGGAAGCATATGCACAGGGTCTGTATCTAATCAACACTTCGGCATTATGTTTTTATGAAGTATTTTTCACACTTAAATTTGTCTCATTTCCTTGAATCCTGGACAGGAAAAGGCATCAAATGTGCTTTTTCATGAACTTGCAGGAAACAAACTGACCTGTCTTCATTTACTTTTATAGTTTGCCATATGTTTTAAATGTATGTAATCATTTGCAATTTCTGATCATATGGTGTGCCATCTTATGCTTCCCATAATTTTTACTCGCAATTTTTTTTTTCTCTTTTATTCTATGTGTTAAGTTGCATTATGTTTGTGTATTAGGATCTATAATTTTACATTGTAGGAGAGCTACAATGAACAAATAAATTTTGAGTCTTATTGGAATTATGTGTGTCATCTTCCTTTATTTTCTTTTTCTTTCTTTTTTTTTTTCTATCTTTTTGTATGAGGTGTGTGTGAGACGCATGAGGCGTATGCCTCTAGCACGCCTCATGAAAAAGGTGTATGAGGTGTATGCCTCAGAGGTATCAATGCCTTTGGTATACACCTCAGGGTGTTTTGGGGGCACCTCACCTAAAGGTGTGCCTCCAAGCATGTGCCTCCTACGCCTTTTTAAAACATTGGGTTGGTCAGTTGTCCCTGGTGATGATTTGGGGCATATGTAATCAACTCTAACTAATAGATAACTTGGTTATCAACCATAGGATAGCTTTCATACAGGTCTCTTTTTATCCTTTTGGACCAATCTTGAGAGTCAAATTGAAGCAAGATTGCAAGAATCAAAGAATATGGTGGCAAAATAGGTTTTGGTAAGCAGTAATTTCAAGAAAGAAGAAATTTTCTAGCAAGAACTTCTGAGAAATCAAGAGGATTCAAGAAGATTGAAAGATACATAAGAACATCAAACAAGAATGCAAGGAATCAAGAAAAGAACCAAGAACAGTCTCAAAATTCAAGAAAGAGTGAAGAGAAATTAGATCTGAATTCAAGAAAGAGTGAAGAGAAATTAGATCTGAATTCAAGAAACAAGCAAGAAGGTTTAGATCTAACTCTAGGAGAAGAAGGGGAAAAGAAATAGAAACCCAAGAAAACCAATTCTTGCTCAACCTTAGGAACATAATGGTGGGTGATAGTGGGATGGCTGAAGAACAGCGGTCAATGACTGTGACAATACCAAAATATCATGAGAGAGATATGATACTTGGCCAAGGAAATGGGAACTACCTTGGCATGGGTTCAGAGGCAAATAGTCTGGCTGATGCTTTGTCCCAACAGAGGGTGAATAGGACTCAATTGTTTTGGGGACAAACACCTAATCAGTAATTGTGGTCATTAGGGAAATTATCAAAAAAAAATGCAATCATTAGGGAAAGGGGCAGGCAGAAGAAGCTAGACTACACTTTTGGGGTGCTTGGCATTAATTGCATTTAACTTATTCTTTCTCCAAAAATGAATAGAACTTTAGGATTACCATAAAAGCTTCAATTCTTGAATCTAAAAATTCATTGTTTATTGCATAAATCAATCACTGTATATTAGTAACAATGTGTTATGTCTTTGAGATTTCCAATTGAACAAGTAACCAAATATTGCTGGTCCACTTTAAGGTTCATGTTGTTAACCCAATGCACCTTACATGGTTCAGGGTTTAGTTCTACTTTCATATCTAGTTTCTTCATGATTCATCAGTTACTATGTTACTACATCTTCCACTATTTATCATCATGAGACGATTCTCCTTGGCATTATTAGGCATCTGAAAATTACTAGTTTGCTTCCAGTCTTCATTCTAGTAGTCGAACAAGACTATAATTTGTTTTAAATATTTGATGAGAAAAGACAGACAAAGATAGAAGAGAAGAAGGAGAGAAGAGAAGAGAAGGAGAGGAGAAGGAGGACTCGAAGATTGGGTTCAGAAAAGAAGTGAGAAAGCTAGCAATTGCCGCCCCTCTACTTGTATTTATATCCATATCCAACTAAATGCAAAAGGGCTGAATTACCCTTATTGCTTACATGACAAAAAATAAAACAAATTAATAATATAAGACTGAAATAACTACTAACTGACAAACTGAAATAACTAATATAACTACTAACTGTACGGACACAGTGGGGGTCCACATCAGTGTTCTCTACAATTCTCAACTACTGGTTGAGTATTGTAATAAAGGTCGCAATACTAGACATGGATCCTGGTCATCCTCATCTGTTTCAAAAACAACAACCTCTGTAAAATCAAATTCAGGTTCTATGACTTTGGTCTCAAGTATAAACAACCTCCTCTTGTAAACTAGTGAGAACAACTTTGTTTGGACATTGAGAAGAGAAAGTGACAAAATCTTTTGCAATAAAAGTATTGTAAATCCTTCCTAGAGTTAGTTGCAGCTGAATTTCCTACACTGTCTTGATTAACCACATACACAAATGGCCTAGTTGGAGAAGTTGAGGCAGGCTTTGAACATATAGAACCACATTGTACTTGAGTTGGATAGAGAATACAGTACTATTTAGGTGTAAAGGAATAAGCATGAATTGAAGGTTCACTTCTTCATATGGGCTGCTTTTAAGGGCAAAATTCCCACCAGTGATGTTTTGAGGGGAAAAAGGATATGATCCTTGTCAACCGCTGCTGTTTGTGTGGGGAGGATTAAGAAACTATCCAGCATCTCCTTGTTCATTGCACTTACTCTTACAAGATGAAGTTCCATCTTCCATGTTTTAAGACTGTTTGAGATGAGTTGGGTGATTCCCCAGACCTTGCCTCCCTAACGTCCTCTTGGTGAGGGCAGGCCTTCTCTAAGAGGGGTAAGGTGCTGTGGAAAGAGCTGCTCATGGTGTTTTGTTGGTGCAACTAGAAAGAGTGGAACAGCCGCCTGCTTGATGACCAAGCCTGTCTTCCAGAGAGTGTGCGCAATTGCTGAAAGCATCTTGTTCAAATGGGTTTCCATTAATCTTCTCTTAAGGGGTTTTCATTTTAGTCACTTCGTGGATCATTGGGGAGCTATTCTGTAGGATAATGATTTTACTGTGTAATGTTTTGCCTCTTGGCTCTTCCTTCTTTATAACCAGCCGCTGAGAAATCTCTCCCTCAGCAGTGCTTATTATATTTTCTTTAATGAAATCAACCATTTCTCAGAAAAGGTAGATCTTCTATGGGGATGCCCTTAATCTGGTAGACAACCTGAGTGGCATTAGACATCAAATATATATTGTCACTAGACTGTTCAGATGTAACTTTTTTTTTTGTGACTAACAGTAGATTCTTGTATCACATACAAAGCAGCCTTGCTGTTCAAGATACTTGAAGAGGTTGGCAAGATGATACTTCAACAGCCAATGGCTGACAGCATCAACAAAAACAATGATAAAGTGGGTTACAGATGTGCCCCTGTCCCCCATTCTAGATCTCTCTTGCTAACCCTCATCCTACTTTACTATCTGCTAGACTTTTGGAAGACATAGGAACCCAACTGAATGACCAGTTTGGATTGGAAGATAAAGTCAATGCTTCTCTGATTTGAGATCTTAAACACCAAGGTCCTTCAGCACTTGATTGTATGTCAGACCTTGTAGCCAAATGATGGAGCTTGCTGACATACTCTTCAATTCTCAATTTCTCATGGATCTTTGTTGTAACTGCAAAAGTTAAAGATGTATACAATATGTTTTCTAGGCATCAAGTGACTTTTTAGTTGGCATCATATCTTCCCACAACCTTACTTCAAATCCCTGTCTCCTCATAACCTCTGACTGTCTAAATGTCTAATCCACCAAATATGTGCTGTCTTCCTTGTTGTGATATCTTATCTTGTCTGTTTATTCTCAATATGAACCCCTGTTCCCTCATCTCTTTTCATCTATTCTTTTTATGTTCTATCATTTATATTCTAATTCTCTGTTACAGGTTTAATCAAGACCTTCTGTTTAGCATTTCTTCCAACTCTTCACAAGGCTCAAAATGTCTCCCATCTCTCTTAAAGATTTCTTGGTGTCAGATTTTCCCAATCATTTTCTCCTTGTTGTTTTGCAAGATCAACTGAGATCCCTGTGTCCAAACTCTTCAGAACCCTTTCAGATTAAATATTCCCAATTATTCTGAGTTTGCACACAAAATATCATAGAAAAATCCCATTCTTGCACATATTTTCTTTGTTCTTGAAAATTTATTTGTTCTGGCGAGAAACTTATAGATTTCTGTAATCTGTATCTGACCTAAAAGCCTTTATAGTCAAATTGCACATCTTTGATACTCCACCTAGCTGCCACAGCCCACAGGAACAACCCTTCTTACATCAACGAACCTCATTATGTTTCTGTAATTTCTGCATATTTGTGTCCAGTTTGTCTTTAATGTCAACCTTATTCTTTTTTTGTTTAAGTTTTAAGCTAAATCATGCAACTAGTGGTCTTTTTAAAGCATATGGATGCTGAGTTATTTGTTTTTATGACAGAGGAGGATTGGGGAGGAATAAAGGCCTTACGGGAGAAAATGGAACAGTTACTGGTAAGGCTTGCCCAAAAGGGCTTTATGGGATTTTTTGTGAGGTAACTTATGCAACTTTTTCCTCTCATGATACTCTTACAGTTATTAATTTAAACCGTTTTAGTCCTTCTATATCTCACTGGAACTGATGCATATGCAGTTGTGATCATAGTTGTCAAGGCGACGCCTAGGCGACAAGGCGCCCTTGGAGGATTGCCTCGCCCAGCCGCCAAGTAGTTTTGTGCACTATGTTATAAAATACTTTTATATTTTTAATTTTTTGACATTATAAAATAGGCATTATTAAACTAGAATATTCATTTTATGTGTTTATGTACTAATTTCTTTTTATTATTTTCTTATTTGTTAGAGTTTAATCAACACAAACATTTCTAACTGCTGTATTGAACCCATGGCTCAAAGTATCGACACACCTCTGTGTATCGGCAGAGGTGTATCAGTACTTATAAAGATACTCCCCCTATTTTTTTATTTCTTTGGTTTTCAATTTCATTTTTAAATATACATATATTATTATTTTAAAAACGGGTTCCCGGAAACACCTGTAAACATGTGTATTGGATTTGGGGCGCCAAAGATACAACACAATACACCCAATACAGGGCGTATCGTATCGAAGTTTTGATCCTTGCTTGAATCCTCAAAGATTTCAGAACCTGAACCAATAAGCAAGGGAAGAACTTAAAATTTTGTCTAATCAACATATTTTCTTCTTACAAATCTTCTTCTTCTTCCACCCTTTTCTTTTCTTCTTTTCCTATAACAAAAGTAGGGGTTCAGCTGCTATATTTTTTGAATTTTCTTTCCTTTGTTCCTTTTCTTCTCATTAAATGTTGATTTTCTAAACTTAAAACGTGAAATTTATACTTCTTTTATGAAAATTATGGATAATTATTAAGGAAAGATGGTTATGGAACCTAGGGAACTACCCTTGGATATATGTTTTTACTTAAAAAAAAATCCATCACCTAGGCAACTAGGCGACAAGGCGCCCCCTGTTGCCTAGCCTCACCTTGGCACCTTAAAAACTATGGTTGTGATAATTCATAACTCCAGGATTGGTCAGTGTTGTCAGGCTTGGATCAGTCGGAAAATGGAAAGCTCACTAGATTTTTACCAGTTTAACTGGAAATATAATTCTTCAGCCATGAAAACCATAAAAAATTAAGACCTGAAAAGATCACTGGGTCACTGATCTGCTAGTTCAACTGTCTGATCCATTCTTGACAACATTCATGACTTCTAGTTTTCTCCAGCTGAATTCTGGAAATTGCCATTGGAATTTATGTGACCCATACAGAACATTTACTAGTCCTATGTATCCCTTAATCTTTGGAAATATTATTGAATTGAAAGTTACATTCTTCCCTATGTACCACTAAATGTGTGCATTTATGCAGGCATTTATTTTCCTCATTTTTTGATTGTTTTATTTGCATCTATTTCCTAGAAGTATAGAAATCCCAAACAGGACTTATGCTACCAATAAAAACAGTTAGGATATAAACAGATAATGTTGGTGATAAAAGTTAGGGTAAAGCATATATGAAGCTTTCTAGTAAATATTTTTGTGTAGTTTGGATCTCTTCTCTTCTCAAAATTTCTTTTAGGATAAGTGAATTGTGTTACTGCAGGAATGCCCGGCTGGCACTTTTAAGAATGTTGTTGGGTCTGATAAAACTCTTTGTCATCAGTGCCCACCATATGAACTTCCACATCGTGCCATCTACATGAATGTTCGAGGTATCTCTAAAAATTTATGCTTTAATGTCTTTTGTTTACTGAATGGAAAATTTACAATGTTTTCAACTGAATATGGATTGCCTGGAAATATTAAATTTTATGGTTTTCACAACGTATTACTTACATCCTCCAAGAGGCAGCTGTTCTCCATTATTTATGACTTGTGAATCTACTATGATTTACAAAGAGAAAGAAAGAAGAGAAGATGGTGTGAAGAAGAAAATAGAGAGATTTGAGAGAAGTATGAGGCATTTGCTTCATTATCATTTTATTAACAGCAGGTTAATTAGAACCGAAATTTAAAGGATATCCTTTATAGCTTTAAGTACAAGGAGGGGCTATAATAATATTGTAAAACTCAGTACTGTTAACACCCCCTCCAGCTGTGTTTTATCAGTTGCCTTAGTCAATATTTCAGCTTGGTGATCACCAGTCTTCACAAAAGGTGGACAAATTTTCTTTGAAGCAACCTTCTCTTAAATAAATTGCTGGTCAACTTCAATGTATTTGGTTCTATCATGCTAGACTGGATTATGTGCTATACACATGGCAGCTTTATTTTCACAACATAAGTTCATTAGACTAACAACTGGATATTCCAACTCATGTAAAAGTCTGGATATCCCAACTCTTCAACCAAAGTAATCACAAGCCCTATGAGCCATTGCCCTATATTTAGCTTCAGCACTAGAATGAACCATCATTAACTACATTTTACTTATCCAAGTGAGTTCGGATTTCCTCCTCACAAAATTGGTCTTCACAACCACAGCCCTTGTAGCCACACACAGAAACATCTCTGTACTTGTATATTTTATTCAAGGGGAGATGTTCGCAATACACCGGTGCAAGGGCTATGAGGTGGGTGTGAAGACCAGTTTTGTGAGGTTAAATCCGATTTCTAACCAAGTGACTAGATTACCACCAACAAAGGAACTTCCTATCAACCACTAAGCTAGCCTATTTAGCATTAATCTACACTTTCACCTTAATATGGCCATTGTTTTTTGTAGTCAGTCATAGAATAACCTAGGATAGAAGAGAAGTGAGAGGAAGAGAAGAACAAAAGAAGGCAACATACAGAATGGGGAGAAAAGTTGAACGGGTTAGTAGTGGCTCCCATTTCACCCTAATATATTGATAAATATAAATAATTATAGTGATCCCTAGAAGAAAAGAAAATAACAGGAAACCCCCTATGCCTGAAATATTCATAAAAACACCCCTTACAACACGTCAACACTCCCCCTCAAGTTGGGTTGTAGATATCATGCATCAACTTGACACATATCTCTTGCTCTTCAATGAGCAGGGTATACAAAGTTCACCCCTTCTCTTGATTTTACAAAAGGTATACAAATTTCACCCCTTTCCACTCTTTCATGTATGAAGTGCTTATCAATCTCAATCCTGATTGTAGCCTTGTTATCACAGTATAATGATATAGGATCTGAATTCCACATGCCAAACTCAGTGAGGACGTTTTTCAACCACAAAAATTCAGCAACTCCTTGAGACATGGCTCTATACTCAACTTCCGCACTTGACTTTGCCACCACTACTTGTTCCTTACTCCAAGTGACTAAATTTCCTCTTACAAATGTGCAGTAACCAGTAGTGGATCCCCTATCATCAATAAAACCAGCCTAATTGGCATCAGTATAACCTTCACCTTTGTGTGACCATGCTTGGTAAAGAGGAGACTCCTACCAAGGTGTTTTTTCAAGTAAACTAGAATCCTCTAGTAGCGTTGAAGTTAGTGGGTCTAGGTGAGTGCATTTACTGGCTCAGAACACCTACAGAAAAAGCAATATCCAGTCTAGTCATGGAAAGATATTTGTTTTGAAGAATAAAGAGAAAAATTCATTAAAATAAAAGAAAAAGGCATAAGTACAACATAGGATGATAAGATATTACCTCAAGTCTTTTAGCAGCTCCATTAAACTCCCAAAGGCCTAAGAAAACCACTGCTTACACCCAAGGAAAACCCAATTAAGCCCACTACAAGACCCAATAAAACTATGACCACCAACCAGCCACACACGAGCCTTTCTGAAGCCCGCATCAGTCTTCATCTGTAAACTCATCCTCCCGATTTGAGTAACCCTCATCCCAATCCTTGCTCCCTTGATTAAAAGCTTTCTTCTTCTCTTTCTCTTCCTTTTTCGTTCTTTCAAATTTCTCAAAGGCCCTCCTGGAAAATTCTTTGCCACCCCAAAAAATACAGACCCAAGATTTTCCCAACCATCACCTCTTTGTCAACTAAATCCTGTATAGCCGCATCACTTGAGCCTTTTCCAACAACAACAGTATCCTGTGGCATCTTGATTCCACTAGATTCCGAATCAATGCCACCCACCTTGTTTTCCTGTTGATTCTTCATAGTAGGGGGAGGCTATGACTGAACTTGCAATGCCACCCTCCTTTGACCAGTTTCAGGAGTCCCATTACCTCTCACTCTTTTCCTTCTATAAACCCATTTGTATTTTTTTGTAGGTCCTGCCCCTGCTAAGCCTAGTTTTAGTCTTCAAAATACCTTTGTCACATGAACTATGTTGAGAGATCTCAGATTATGCGGTTTCTTGCTTATTAACCCATTACTTGATCCTCCTCATTCTCTTCCAGATTACTCCTTTGGCCCAAATGAGTCTCTAATACTAATGAATGTCACCCTCACAATTTCCAAGTTTATGACTTGGATCCATAGGAAAATCAGTTGGTTTACACCCTAATTTCCAAGTATCCTTCAACAAACCAAGGATATACTTCCTTTGGAAGATGAAGATACCCTTGTTAGATTGAGCAACTTCAATACCAAGGAAATATTTCAGAGGTCCAAGATCTTTAACTTTAAACTGTGAAGCCAGAGGCTTCTTCAACTCTTGATTTTCTTCCTCCTAGTTTCCTGTAATCACAATATTATCCACATGCACAATCAGAATAGCAACCAGCTTACCTCCTCTTTTCATAAACAATGTATGACTAGTTTGACACTGCACAAAACCAACCTATTGGACAACATTGTTGAACCTCTCAAACCATTCTCTAGGGATTGCTTTAGGCCATATAAGTATTTCTTCAAACAAAAGACCTTATCCTCACTGCCCTGCACCTGAAATCCAAGAGGTTGGACCATATATACTTCTTCAAGGTTACCATTCAAAAACACATTCTTCACATCCAATTGATGAAGATGCTAGGAGAAATTGATAGCAAGGGATAAGAGCACCTAGATAGACTTCATCTTGGCAACCAAAGCAAAAGTTTCATTATAATTCACACCATGTGTCTGTGAGAACCCCTTTCCTACCAGTCTCGCCTTATACCTTTAGACACACTACAAATAATAAAAATGAAGGCACGATAACTAGGAGACAAATGAGTTGTGGAAGCGAATAGAAATGGAAATAGGGCAGGATCAGGGAGGGGCACCCCCTCTCCATCCCTTCTCCATAGTCAATATGCTCTTCCCCATCCCCACCCCATCCCTGGTGGTGGGGCAGATTTGGGGCGAGGCAGCCATTCCTCATCAGGGACGGGTAATCCCCGAATTTTCCCCACCCCAAGGCAGCCACCTAAAAATAATCTAAATTATGAATATTTTATAAATAGGACTGGGAATTTTGGGGTATTTTAGGAATTGAATTATGGCAATTTGGGGGTACTTTAGAAATGGATTATGGGATCCTAAGATTTTAAGAATTTGGAGAAAACTTTGAGATATTTTAAAAATCAATATTAAATCTAGGCATATTTTACTAATTTACCATTGGGTTCGGGGCAAAAACATTTTCCCCGGTTTTATGGGGAAAATTTCTATCCCTAGAAGTGAAGAAGGAAATAGGGTACTTGGAATAAGTCCTACTACAAAGAGCAATGGGAAGGTCAATATCATAAGGAGAAGGTTAAGAGGTATTTGAAGGACGACTGGCATGAAGATTTGCCTCATGAGATCATGGTTTAAAATGTTGCGACATTTCAGTAATGTCGCCCAAAATATGTCAATGTCAAGACCTACTAGCAAAAACTCTTGAATTAAAAAAATACAAAGTGTCGGTTGATATTTTGATCACTTTGGTAAATGTTGCCTATGTTGTTCAGAAAAAACAAAAAAGAAGTATAATATTTTGAAATATTTCATCCAAATGTCAACAACTCAGCATATATTTGAAAATAGAGAATCAAATTTCATATCAAACAAAAAGAGAAAGAGAGATTAAACGGGAAAAAAAGAAGTTTTTAGTTTACTTACATGAAGCTGGAAGAACTATAACTTCAGGCTCGAATAGGCACAAGAGTAGCTTCTACCCTCAGTCATGCACTGAAATACCTTCTTTGAACAAGAAGCAGGATACTAGACATCTAAAACTCTAAAAAAATTGCTCTCATCTCACTTTCAAGTCTCGTCTCGGTTCAGGTATGCAATGCTATCCCTATTTTCCTCTCAGTGAATAACCATGAAAAATAAAGGGAAAAAAAAAATAGAAGATAAGGAGTTGAGGACTCGAGGTTGAGGAGAATGCTTGTCTTCATCTTCTATTTCTTCATCTTCATCTTCGGATTCCTGAAATTCTTGCAGTCATCACTATTTGCATTGCGTCGTTGCATCTTTTGTAATCTTCAAAATTTCAAGTTGAGGGTTCTAATGACCGATGAACCCTTAATCCTAAATGTTTAAGTTTATGTTATTAAAGACATGCTATAGTACATGATGGTCTATTAAAGTCTATAGGCCATCACAATAGCAAGCCTTTAAATGGAATCTTTAAAACATTACTACTATTGTACGGTGCAATAGGGTCTATTGTAATACTCCTAATAGAAAACTTATAGAAAGAATCTTTAATATATTATTATAGTCTTATTACAAGTATATGTAGGTCTATAGTAATATTGTAGACCCTCATTATAAAAGCTAATAAAAATGGAAAATTAATATTTAAAATAAAATATAAAGTATTCAGAAAAACAAAATTAAAAAACAAGTGATTAAACTAACTACTTATTAAAATAAAATAAAATATTTTTATAATAATAAAAATATTAAATGGTTTATATAATTTACAAGATTTAAAAAAAATATGATTTAGTGATGATATTGTAGACCCTCATTATAAAAGCAACAAAAAAATGAATAAATAATAAGAAAGTTAATATTTGAGATAAAATGTTCACAAAAATAAAAAATAGTGAGAGATATTTTTATAATAATAAAAATATTACTTAAACTAATTACTTATTAGAATAAAATAAAATGCATAGATAAAATATTTTTCTTAATAATAAAATATTAAATGGTCTATATAGTTTATATGATTTATTCTAACTATTTATTTAGAAGAAAATGATATGCATCATGGAAGATAATAGTCTAGAAAAGTGTATAAATGCTTATTTTATCATTTTACAGAATATAAGCATATTTCCACATATATCCTAGTTTTGAACCAAATTTCCTAGTTTCCTAAAGGAGATAAAAAATGCACTTGCATTGTTAAAGAAAATACATGCTTTATATTTGGCAACCTTAAGTCATAGAAAGTATGTCAAAGGCCCCAAATCCTTGATTTCAAGTTTCTTGGCAAGAATAACTTCACCTACTGGATGTATTTAGGAGATTGTTTGAGCCCATAGATAGCCTTTGTTTTTGTATTGTTTTTTTGGTTTTTTTTTTTTTATCAGTAAACATGAGCCCCTAGATAGACTTTCTCAACCTGCTTATCCATTTTTTATTACCAGTCAACTTAATCTCCATTGGCATTGATATGTAAACTTCTTCCTTAAGTTCAGCATTTAAAGAAGACATTTTTTACATCTATCTAGTACAATGGCCAGAGAGCCACTGATGCAGGAGGAGAAGAGTCAAAATTGGAATTTTTAGAATTTGTATGTATTTCCATGGGATCCAAGATAGGATCTGATTTTTCTAGTATGGATGGTTTGTGTTTAAAGTTTCAGAGTTATTAAATAAGTAGTTTAAGAGTTATTAAGTCTTCTTTGAGCTGAAATAGGATAGTAGAAATTTACTAAGTTTATATTTTTGAGACCTAGGATTCTTATGTCTACAGTCTTTAAATATGTATGGATGTTTTAAACAAGGATCAATGTAGTTTATTTGAATTGACTCAAAAAAAAAATGTAGCTTATTTGAACTCCTGCTTATGCTACTTATGATGAGTCATTCCCATGCCCTAGAGTGCTTCTAGGTATTCTTCGAGTGATTCTGTCTTTCCTCTATCTTTTTTTCTCACTGTTTTTTTTTTTTTTTTTCATAATCCTTCATGAAGTCATTACAGTCATCAACAGCCATAAGTTTCTCACCAAAGGCCATTCATTCACATCCTACATCAACTATTCAAAATGAATTCATCTTTGCTACAAGTGCAAAGGTTTCCTGGTAGTCATTTCTTTATGTTTGAGTAAATCTGTTTCTTACCAATCTTGCTTCGTACCTGTCAATTTGGAAGAACAAAGGAAGATTGTTTATCTCCCCCAATGCTTACCCTTTATGTCTGAAAGAAGGTGAGTCAACTGGTACTGTTTCCTTAATCTTGTATGCTACAGCTGGGTATTTCCTAAAAGCTTAATTGATCTCTTATGGCAATGGAGGGGCAGTGGTCTTGGAAGCAGGGGGAAATTTACTGGTGCACAATTGCCCAAGCAGTGTTATGGTGTATTTGGGAAGAAAGAAACAGCCGCCTCTTTGAAAACAAAACCAGATCTATTGAAGATTTACTCTCTCACATTACTTTTCTGGGCAATCTTTGGGTCTCCATTTCTGCAGAATTCAAAGGCTTACCCGTGAATAATTTGGAAAGAAATCTGGGGGAAATCCTATTCTCTTCACCAAGACCTTCTAACAGGGCAAACACTACACCTGCAAGATTGTTATCAGAGCTGACTTTAAATTTTGATGGCAGTGCTTTGGGAAACCCTAGAGTTGCTGGAATTGGTGGAGTTTTTAGAGGGAGTGTGGAAAGCATCATATGGGCATATAGTGGCCCATTCGGGGTGGCTGATTCTTCAAAAGCAGAAATCCTGGATGCACTCAGGTCTTCAAATTGCTAAAGAGAAGGGCTGGTCTGCTCTAACCATTAAAGGAGACTGCAAATACAATTAGATGGTTAGGGGAGAAGGAGGGAGGCCCTTGGAGACTAGCTCATTACTTGGCCAAAGCCAGAGATATTCTGAACACCATGACTGTAAATTTAATCTGGATTTCCAGAGAATTAAATACTACAGCTGGTGGTTTAGCTAAATCGGGTACCCTTAGGAAAATCATGTACAATGAAAGAAATCTCCCCTGTAATTTCCTCTTGTTGGTTCAGCTGTAGCATGTACATTTCCTCATGTACCTGTCTTCTTTTTTAATATAATCAGTTAACTTTTTCTCAAAAAAACTTTCCTATATGGTTTTTCTTAACATTCCAAGTATAAGCATTTTTCATGGTTAGTGGTAATATGTGGAGGGAAAATCACTTCTAAAAGATTTAGTATTGCTCTGATTGACCTGAAAAAATTTCTTGTATCTCTACAAATATGCAGTACTCTTTCCAAAACCAATCTACAAAGATCAACCTACTGAAAGATTTCTACTTAATACTTTTTTCTCAAACCTGTTTGAAGAACAGACTGACATCACCATGCCATATATGTGATATTGTGATGTCAGAAGTCAGCTCTCTCCATTAAAAAATCATATGCAATCTTCATATTCTTCCTCTCAGATGCTGACTGTACAGCATCTGTGATCTGACACCACATGTATGACATGGTGATGTCAGTCTGTTCTTTAAACAGGTTTGAGAGAAAAATATGTCAGAAGTAGAAATCTTTCAGTGGGTGTGTCATGATACCAAGTTGTTAACCTGCAAGGACTTACAAAGAGAGGGCTTACAAATAGAAAGAACAAAGAGTAGATGGTGTGTAGAAGAAAAGGAAGAGAATTGGGATAAGTAGGAGGCACATGCCTCACTCATTTTATTCATAAGAGGCTTTTTAGAACTGAAATTACAAAAGTACCCTTGCTATCTTTAAGTACAAGAAAGGATGATATAATGTTAACAATGTACTCTATAATTTAGCTACACTTCTGTTTTCTACTGAACAATGCTTTGTACAAAACTGTTTTTTTTTATTTTTTTATATTTTTGAGTTGCTTCTTTTAATAAATTTGTTCTTAAATCAGTCATTTTCTTCTATAGGTGGTGTTTCTGAAACTCCATGCCCCTACAAATGCATATCTGACAGATATCACATGCCTCACTGCTACACGGCTCTCGAAGAATTGGTCTACACTTTTGGTGGTCCATGGTTTTTTAGTCTTCTTCTCTTGGGTCTCCTTATCTTGTTAGCTCTGGTTCTCAGTGTTGCGCGAATGAAATTTGTTGGCACTGATGAATTGCCTGGCCCAGCTCCCACTCAACATGGTTCTCAAATAAATCATTCATTCCCTTTCCTGGAGTCATTGAATGAGGTGTTCCCTCCAATCATCTTCTTTTCACTATTAGCACTTCGTCAGAATTTATTATTTTTCATTTTCAATTTGTGACAACTTTCTTTTGCTAGATAATCTGAAAGCTGATTATTTTCTGACATCTTTCAGGTCCTGGAAACTAATAGAGCTGAGGAATCCCAGAATCATGTCCACAGAATGTATTTTATGGGTCCTAATACTTTTAGTGAACCATGGCATCTCCCTCACTCTCCTCCAGAACAAGTAATGGAGATTGTGTAAGTGTCCTTGATAGGTAGTATGCATTTAGATGTTTCGTGCTGAACAATCTTCTTTGAATGTTTTCTCTGCTATTGGGAGCTGTAAATTTAGTGATTTTGTTCCCATATACATATTAAGCAAGTATATCATTTTAATTTAAATAAATAGTCTCTTTTACTTATCTGGCATGGCAGATATGAAGATGCATTCAACAGATTTGTTGATGACATTAATGCTCTGGCTGCTTACCAGTGGTGGGAAGGAGCTGCTTATAGCATTCTTTCTCTTCTTGCATATCCCCTTGCCTGGTCATGGCAGCAATGGCGCCGTAAAAAGAAAGTACAACAACTGCGTGAATTTGTCCGATCAGAATATGATCATGCCTGTTTACGGTCTTGCCGTTCACGTGCTCTCTATGAAGGACTTAAGGTATTCTTCCACAAAAATCTTGGAATTAGACTTATTTTTCAGATATTGTAGCAGAACTCTTTCTAATTTTTCCTTATGCAGTTCAAACTTCCTATGGTGCATAGTTGATAGCATTTTTCCATTAAACCCATCTTTACATGTCAAATACAATAATATGGTTACATGCTTTTTTTATATGTTTTGTTTTTGCATTTATTTAATATATCTCAAAACAATATGTTCATTTATATTCCACATATATCCTTGTTCTGTTGTATTCTGTTCATGCATAGTTGAACTGTTTCAGATTTCTAGCATAATATTTATCATCATTTTCATTTTATCAACTAGTGGAAATTTAGTACACTTTCTGCTTCCACCTTTGTCCACAAGAACCTGTTTTCTTGTAGTCCTTGTGGTCGTGGACCTATATGTTATTCTGATCTGCATTATCTTCTCTAAGCGGATTTAGAATCAATCCAAATCTGATCTGAGTCTGATATATTGGATTTTGGATTGGATCCAGATTTGAAGTTTTAATAATTGGATCGGATTGATACGTGGCTTGACCCAATCTGCATCTGACCTGATTACAGCCTACTGGGAGCAACTCAGTTTCATTCTTGTTCACCTTTTCTGATTTTTCAAATTTAAGAGTTTTTGTTCCTATTAATAAACCCTCTTTGATTGTGTTGCTGATCCAGAGAAGAAACAAAAGAAATGTGCCCTTTCTTTGTATTGGTGCAACAGGGTCTGAGCATGTTTAGATGTTGAAGTACTTAGAGGTACAATTATAATAATCTCATTCTCAGATGCTCTTGGAAACTCAATTACATGGAGGTCTCTTCTAGGGGAATGCTAATTACCTTTGTACTATTACATGTAGGAATATTTCTTAGGTCCTAGTTAAATAGGATTTTCATTAGATTAGATGAAGAGTGAAAATATTTTTAACCTTGTGGAAGTGGATTTTTAGGCCAAAGTCTTTAATTTGGAACATCTTTTAAGGAAGCCTTTGGAACATTGATGTAGCACTTGAAAAGGAAGAATAACCTTTAAGGATACAAGTAGGGAAGAAATATTGATGGTTAGCTTTTAATGAGAAATTTGAAAAATATTATTCTCCTGGGGTGGACTTCTGGAAGGGGATGGTGAAATTGATTTCAGACTGCTCAAGTAATTGCTTTGAGATAGGGAATGTATTGCAGGTGCATTTCTACAAATTGGTTCAGTCAGCTTTTGGAGACTGATTTTTGGCATTGGCCATGCACATGCAGGTTATCCAATCAGTTTGGATATAGGTTTTGTTGTTCTTTGAAATTTGACATAAGGACAGTGTAATTCATTGAAAGGTATAGAGATACGGCTATTTACTTTGTGGTCCCAGTGTCCCACTATTTGTTTCTTATTTGTTATTGATTTATTATTATTTGTTTTGTTCCTCTCTTTCATATAGGCAGCAGGGGTATTCCTGTCTTTTCACCTCTTCTATTTGATTAATATAAATAGCAATTCTTTGGGGTGGCAGAACCATTAGAATCTGCACCCCTTTTTTCTTCATTCTCTCTGTCTTTTCTCTTCTTCTCCATTGCTCTCTCTCTTTCTTTTCTCCTTTTTTCTGCTATTTTTTTACAAAAACACAGGTCTGATTACCATTGGTTACAGCCAACTAAAGGGCCTCTTTGAAATAGGAAATTGAGGAATGTTTGTAGTTACTATAAGAGTATAGAGGAGATTAGGAATTCTATACATGCCAATGAAAGATGGTGAACATGCTTAAAGATGTCATTGTGAACTCATTTTACTGGAATTGATATCTCTATGCCTGCAGGTTGCTGCAACTTCTGATTTAATGCTGGCATATGTGGACTTTTTTCTCGGTGGAGATGAAAAGAGAACTGATCTTCCTCCTCGTCTTCATCAAAGATTTCCAATGCCCATAGTTTTTGGGGGTGATGGAAGTTATATGGCTCCTTTCTCACTTCAAAGTGATAATGTTCTGACTAGTCTTATGAGTCAGGTGGGTTGTTTAGTTGTTTCTTTATTTTCTTATTCTTTCTCTGACACTGATAGAGGGAACCCTTAGTTAGGGTTCAGATATCTAGTATCCAACTGCTGGTCATATATTTCCTTCCATTCACTTTTTATCTGTATGGGAAAAGATATTTGTTCTTAATATTTCTGATTTGCTATGCAGTCTGTCCCATCTACAATTTGGTATCGGCTGGTGGCTGGTCTGAATGCTCACCTGCGCTTAATTCGCCATGGGCGCCTGAGGATAACATTTTTACCTGTCCTCAGCTGGCTTGAAACTCATGCCAATCCTGCTTTGAGCATCCATGGTGTGCGTGTTGATCTTGCATGGTTTCAGGCTACAACTTGTGGTTATTGCCAGTTTGGACTTCTTGTATATGCCATTGAAGAAGAATCTGAGATGGCATCTACTGAAGTTGTAGATGGAGCAATGAGAACTGAGCAACAGTCACGGTAGAAGTTTCTTCTAACACTCCTTTTAACATGTGTTGTTGGTACCATATGTATTGAATTTGGCTCAAAATCTTTATCTGTATTTTGCAGTGCAAACAGCATCCAAAGAGACAATTTCCCGAGTTGTTTGAGTAGTGAAAATATTATGATACATAAAAGGTTATATGGAAAGATTTTAAATACTTACAGCATACAAATGCTTCAAGAGAGGAAAGATATATTTTACCCCTTCTCATTTATAGTACATAATACAAAACCCGTTGGCCAGCAGGTAGATTTCTCATGATTCAGCATATAAGCTTCTTCGTTGCATATGATTTTGGTCAATCATTGAGTACCTGTAAGATTTAGTTATATATATTCTTTGCTCTGAAGTTAGCTTTTCTTAACATGGGTTTATGTCGCTGCAGGATCTTGTTGGTTTGGTCATATCAATACTTCTTTTAGGAGATTTCAGTTTAGTGTTGCTTACTTTGCTTCAATTGTACTCTATTTCACTGGTGGACTTCCTACTGGTCCTGCTTCTTCTTCCTCTGGGGATTCTTTTTCCATTTCCTGCTGGAATTAATGCTTTATTCAGTCATGGTTCAAGACGATCAGCAGGTCTTGGCCGTGTATATGCCTTGTGGAACATTTCATCCTTATTTAATGTTGTAAGTTGCTTTTAATTAACCTCTTATCCATGCCTCATGTCTTTGTCTTGGTACACATGTACACACTTGACTTGGTGATAAATATATGTTGTAAAATTAGGTGGTCGTCTTCGTTTGCGGATTTGTCCATTACAAGACTCAATCGTCATCAAGTAGAAGACATCCAAACTTTCAGCCCTGGAATTTTAACATGTGAGCTTATCTTTTATCTGCTAAAAGTTTTTAAAATTTAGACACTTTCATGGTGGAATAATTAATAATATTAGCAATTGTAGCATTTTTATGTGTTTCCACACGTGTTTTCTGTTGGTGTAGGGACGAAAGTGGATGGTGGATGCTTCCTACTGGACTTGTTCTCTGTAAACTTATCCAGGCACGACTTACCAATTGGCATGTTGCTAATCTAGAGATACAAGATCGTTCATTGTATAGTAACGACCCAGACCTGTTTTGGCAGTCATGACGGTGATACTCGTTTGACCAGGTATAGTTTGATGCAATCTCTTCGTTTCCATTTTTTCACCTCTATTTTTTCTTGATATTGTCAGTGTATAGAGTGGCAGAGAGAGAGAGAGAGAGAGAGAGAGGCATTCGTTCATGTATACCATGTGAATCATGTGCAGCCACAGTTTTTTCCAACATGTAATTAAAAACTAAAAAAAGTGGGCTGGGCTGTTTTTTTCATGGGTTCGACTAGAGCCCAGATTTCTTACTCACGTTTTCTACCCACTAGACCCGCCGTGAATTGCAGCCACACATCTCTCAATTCATAATAGAGGTGTGGCTCCAATTCACGGCTAGAGAGTGGGTAGGAAGTGAGTATGAAATCCCGAGTGGTTCAACTATGATACTGGAAAAGCTTTCCCTTTCATCTACTTTTTAGTCTTTTATTGGGAATACAGGATTGATGTAGCATATTTTTAGGCGCTACCAAAGTAATCAATGAGAAAATCTTGTTACCAATTTTACATTATGGGTCCCTTTGTTGGTCTTCTGAATTTTGTGGCCCCAATAAACTAGTTGATCCCTCCAGGTTGTTTTCAAGATTTCATATTTCATATTGCAATTCTGTCCCTTTTATTTGTAAGATGCATGCTAGATCCTTTAAATTTTAAAACGTATGCCTCCTACTGTTATGCAGTGAGGGAGTTGTCAAAACCAGGGCTCGTACACGTACACACGCATAGGACTTACACACAAGAGAGGGATACCACATTACAACTCAAAAGCTTAAGCTATTGGGTTATGGGTTATTTTTCTATATAAGTTTCTTGCACCTCTCATTTTTTCCGATGTGAGATTCTCTTCAATTACTCGTATATGAATTCTAACAATCATTTCCCATCACATACGAATCTCTCTTCTACATTAGAAATTTCATATTCCCCCTCACCATTGTCATATTGCCAAGCTTGACGCGCACGGGTGCCAAGTATGGGAGCACCATTCCCATGGACGGAGACATCATAGGAGATCAATCGCTCTACTTGACTATGGGGAAAGCCAGAAAAGCTATGGGAGTCATCATGTGCATCTGTGCTAACCAAACCTTCGGGCTTTGATACCACTGACATGTATGCATTGAGGGAAGTCATCAAAACTAGGGGCTCATATACACACACAGGACTTGCACACAAGAGAGGGACACCACATATAACTCAAAAGTTTAAGTTATTGGGTTATGGGCAATTCTTGCATGGGGTTTTCTTTAATATTCATATGTGAATCCCAATACCTATTGCCGAAAGGAATAGATGATGCTCTCTTATCAAATCATTTGACATACAGAGTTTCGATCACATACGTGGTACATGTTTTCACATATCGGGTCAATGAAGTTCTCTGAAGAGAACTCTGAAATAAACTGCGGTGCATAAAATTGAAGTATAAAGCAAAGTTCGTTGAGATGGGGATTGTCTTCATTGTGTACCTTAGGACTACTCGAGTGTGTTTGTTGCACAAGTGTGTTTGTCCTGGATTTAAGCATCGGAAACCAGTAGAGTGAAGTGTTTTTTATGGTTTTCGATGTTTAATTATTTATTATTGTTTATAATGTATAAACAACAATAGATGCCACATAGGATTCATGATACCCTTTAAAACAGAAAATATCAAAATGGTGTATTTGATTAGTCTAACCAAACAGCATTTTAGTTGGATAAAGTCAAAATGTTTATGTGGCATCTACATGGTAATGAAAGCAGAAAACAGTTCTGTAACATCACCATACCAAACACTGCTCTGATTCGTAGTGTTCTTAACCTCAGCATAAATAGTCCATGTACACAGCTTGGGCAATCAGGTGATCGAGAATTTATCATTAGATGACATGTTAAGAAACTGTCCAATTTAAAGATCAACCTAATGTCCTTTAAATAATAATAATAATAATAATATTATTATTATTTTATTTGGTCTCACATATTTACACATTACAAAGGGATCAAGGGGTGGGGACTGACCGTACCATATAAGCCATTAAATGACGATCTTAGCTACTATGTCATTGTCAAACATTATTTTCTTAGCACTTCAGTTGGAGTTCGATCTTTAAAAAAAAGGGCAGTTGGAACATTGTAATAGATCTTAAAACTATCACTTGAGAGTTATACTAGATCTACTAGGCACACCCTTATGATCACATTGAAAACAGTCAATATTTTGACAGCTGTCTAGGTCGGGTTAAGGTCAACACTAACTTGATCCAAGCTGTGGAACCCTTACTCAACTTAGCCCAATCCAAAGCTTTAGAACCCTTAACCTTGACAATTGTCTGCTCAATTTCTCAATTTATTTTTGCCAAATGTTTTTATTTTCTAGAATCTAGACTCAAAGGGTTGAGGTAAATTCAGTTTTAGTATTATTATAGGTAAGGGAACATATTATCATGCTTTTCAAAAATTTTGCCTCTAAACTTTCAAATTATTGGTATATGTATACATATAATATACATATATAAATACATACATACATATATCCACAAGTACTTATACACATGCAACATGCAACATGCATACATGTTGATGGAGCACATACCTATTTCCCTACTTACCACCAATCGCATCAATTATCGCGTTGAAGTTTTAATCCCTTCACTCTCCGGCAGCTTCCATCGAACATGAATAATCTTTAAGAAGATCTGACTTGAGGAATGGTCATCTTGAAATTAACTAAGAAATTTGAAGCAAATCTCTCTGGCTTTCTCCACCAACAATGGTGGAGGTATTGTTATTCATTTTATCCATATATGCCAAAGGCATCAATCCTAGCATAACTTGAAGTAAAGTTAAGTTCATACTTTTTAAACAAGGTTCATCGCATGATTCAAAGGAGCAAAATCCAAAAAAATAAGGAAAGGATAAAAAAAAAAAAAAAAGTTGTGTTGCAACTTGCAAGCTTCGGATCAAGTCATCTTTTCTTTTTTCCGAACCCTAAAACTTATTAAAATTTACTCTCCCTAGATCAAGCCATCTCAGGGAAGGTTATTTTTCATTTAATATGACTCGTAAGAAATGTCCAAGGGAATATGGAGCAAGTTTCTTGGTGAAGCTGCATAGGATTCTCCGCTTTAGGTGGTGTTCGGAAGCAAGTTCATCTCGTGGATGGACCATTTTGGTCCATGCCATGGGATGAACATGCTGTTTGGTTGGTCGTAGACCATTTTGGTCCACGCAATGGGGTGAACATGTTGTTTAATTGGTCGTAAACAGGATTAGTCCACATTATATCATAAATCGACCCTATCCATACCCCAAAATCTTAATAACAACAATTTTTTGTATCTGTGGTTGGTCCACACTCCATTGCTTCTCTTTCTCCACCATCGAGCATTGCAAGCACGGGTTATCCTCTGCAAGCGACACTGCCGCAAGTTCCATTTTTTAATAATTATTTTATTTTTAAATTATTTCATTGCCATTTTTGTTAAAATTAATATTTATTGGTTAATATTCAATTGTTGATGCATTTTTCCAATTTATTTACCATCTAAATTGTACAAATTAGACATTTATGATCATCGATATATATCACTTTGTAGTTAAGAATAATTGTGGACTAGACCAATCCACACAGTCTATCCATAGTTAAGAACAAGTATGGACTGTGGTGTGGCGTAGTCCCATCCATATTATAAAACACCCCCTTAATCTTAAGTTGTGTTTGGTTTGAAGGAAAAAGTAGGGAAAGGTAAGAAAAACCCATATGAGATTTGTAGGTTTTTTACCTTTCCTTTCCTTTCCCTACCTTTTCCTTCAAACAAAATACAGAAAGGCCTAGCTTAGATTTCGTGCTAAGATCAACAGCCTGGGCTATTTTGGGAGCCACTAGATCATGGTTTTCAAAACCAAATCGGACCGGATGATTGGACTGAAAAAACTGGGGACCGATCAGGTAATCGATTTTGTTTTACCCCATAACTGTTATTTTGCTTTGGTCAACAAACCGTTGACCCGGGCAGTCGAACTTTTCGAACCGTCCAACGGTTTTAACTGTTTTAATTTTTAAAATTTTTTTGTTAGAACGGACCATCCATTTGATTCAAATGGTTGGACCATTTGACCCGGAACTGGATCCCTAATCGGTTCGATTTTAAAAGCCTTGCTCTACACATGACGTCTTAGCTAATTTTGATTGTATAAATACTAATTTATCCACACTCATTATGATATGTCTGATTCACTGCAGCTGCAAAACAGCAAAGGCTTTGCTGTTTTTTACGTACAAAGTTTTTCCTGTATTGTCGCTTTTGATATTTGTTGTCTTCTTTTCCTTAATGTTACCTGTTGGAAGATTCTACTGCATGTATCTCTAGTCTCTACACGGGAGAAACAGGGGGAGTTGTATGGAATCCACATCGATCTGTGCGCCCCACACAGTGGGGCCTACGTTTATTTGAACGTGCAATGGAAAAATTGCACGTTCAAATCGCAAGGTTTGGATGTGATGTGTGGGGCGCCAATGTGATATCGGTTGTATAGGAAAAATTGCAAATTGCTAAACGGCTCTCTTTTAAATTAATGTCTCGAAGGCTGCATTCGGGCAAAATTGTACAAGGAAGTATGTCTCCAGTTTCAACCTATGTACTGGCCTACTGGGTCAATGCATAAATTCTGTATCATTTGGGCGTAGGCTGATATCGACACGACAACAAGACCTGGCTTTAAGCTTTAAGATATTGCTTATCCAATGGGCCTTCAATGCAGTATCTATCTCTACATGGCACAATAGTGAGCTTCCTTCTAGATCGAGTGGGGGAAGATAAAGATAAATATATCCTTGGGACCCAATAACATTGCCACGTGTAAAGAATATTCCTGGGTTTTTCAGACCCATTAAACCACCACATTGAAGATTGGACCAGCTTATTGAGAGTTATTCGGTTATTTATTTAGAAACGGCTGTCTGGTTTCCAGAAGTAGAAATGGAGTTCATTGAAGAAAACAATGAGATCGATCAGAAGTTTGAAGCCGACGTGTTGGTGAGGTGATTAATCGCTTTGGAGTTATTAGACCTGTTCAGGTCCGGGCCGGTCCATTTTTTATCTGATTTTGACATGATTTTAGAGTTTAGACCAGGCCCGATATTTTTGGGTCAGGATGGGCTTTTAAATCTCACAACCCATTACTATCATTTAAGCAAATAGCTTTCTCATTTTCTAGAAAATTAGGCACGTGGAATTTTTGAGAAATTCTTGTTAAATCCCACACCCCACTACTAGGCTACAGTTCCCCACCATTCAAACACATGGCCTTCTCATTTTTTTAGAAAGTTAGACATGTGGCATTTTCTAAGAGGTTGCTGTTAAAGCCCGTAACCCACAAAAGAAAACTATTCATATTCTAATAATTATTGAAAAGTTATTTTTTGAAATAAATATTTATTAAAATTTTAATAATTATTTAAAATTATTTAATAAATATAAATTTAACGTTATTGATTCAATAATGTAAATTTAACATTACTAATTCCCCGTACTTAGTACGGGGTCATTCACTAATATATATATTAAAGGAAGGTTTTCATGCTACAACCCCCACCATTCAGACATGTGGCTTTCTCATTTTTCTAGAAATCTAGACACGTGGCATTTTTCTAAGAAACTGTTGTTAAAACCTACAACCCACTACCACCATTCAGGCAAGTGGCCTTCTCATTTTTTGGAAAACTAGACATGTTGCAATTTCTGAAAAATTCCTACTAAAGCCCACAACCCACTATTAGGCTACAATTCCCCACCATTCAAACATGTGGCATTCTCATTTTTTTAGAAAGCTAGACACATAGCATTTTCTTAAAAGTTGGTGCTAAAGCCCACAACCCACTACCACCATTCAGACACGTGGTATCGTATTAATTCAAGAAATAGGATTCAAAAAGTGGGTAGTTTCACTCCTAAACATTCTCAATATACAGTTATTTATTAGCTTAACACATGTTTATCCATAGTCTATTAAATACAACTGGTGGTACCTATTAAAAGATTACCATAAACCCACATTTGTTTTTAAATGATTTTTTTAAAAGAAAATACTATATTAATTACAAAATTGATTTAACTTTTAGGAATCAACCTAATTTAACTTTTAAAAATAAATAACTCAAAATAGATTTATTAGATAAATAGTAAATACCAAATAAAGTGGGTTGTTGTTTACCAATAAGGTCTCATTTAATATCTTAAATCAAATTAAAAAAACATAAATTAATAGTGGGTTTCAAATAAAATAGGTCATAATAGATTGTCAATTACAAAGACGTAAGACCCATATTAGTTTTTTTTTTTAATTTAATTTTTGATAACTAAATAGTAAGCTTCAAAAACTGATTGTGCATTAAAGTTTTATAAATTACCAGAATTTTGGTGTAGTTAAAAATTCTATTATAACAATAATACTCAATAATTAAATACTGAATATTAATAAAAATATAAGAAAATAATCATCACCATTACCAATATTAATCTTTTAATTAAATAATTAAGTAAATATTACATTTTGATTAATCTTTAAATTTTTAGAGTAAAAATTTTAATTATAATAATTATTATGATAACAAAATCATTAATTAAATACTTAATAATAACAATAATAAATAATTAACTAAATATTATAATACAAATAATCTTTAAAAACATAAAGAAATAATAATAAAAAGTTAGACAATTTTTATTTAAACAAAATAAAAATTATCAAAAAATACTAGCCTCGTACTTAGTATAGGGTCATTCTCTAGTATTTTGTTAATAGAGAGGTAAAACCGTGCCCGAACAACCCGGGTCAGGCCGGCCATGAACAGGTCTTCGGATTGGATTGTTCATTTATTCTCTAAGGAATGAAGATCTTCATCTTCCCAAGGCTTTAAAGAGAAGAGAAACGAACTGGGATGGTATCACCGCGTTTTAAAACTGTTGCTATTCTACAGGTTGTATTGGGTCCACACGGAATACTGGGCGGCACAGTTCTCTTACTCCACTCCATCACTCTGCATTAATTCTACAGATTTCAACGTGCAGATGCATTTTCTTGTTGTTTTCAACTTTCATTATCACCGGCGACATCTTCCCAACCACTTCCATGTAAAGCCCCCATCTGTACGAAATAATGTGTCGCCTTTGTAGTTGGAATAGTGAAATCTCATATTTAATGCCAACTCTGTAGAGTAGAGAGTAGTAGAGACTACACACTGTTAAGTGTTAGCATTAGAAAGTAGAAACCATTAACTTGCTTTACGGCAAATTAGCTTGTAGTAATGGTTGATAACATTGTATATTTTGCTTAGGCTGTATGCTTTGAATGATGCTTAACAACTCCAATGACTCTCTTAATGGCTCAATGGACTATAACTGGGGGCCATGTATTGTCAGTCTCCTTGTTATATAAAGCGCGATTCTGAGCACAGGAAGGAAGCATTCTGAATCTAATCTTCGTTAATCTAATCGGAAGCAGAGCTTTCGGAGACGATGGGTATCCGCTGCAGTCCAGTCCTGTTGATCTTAGCATCAGTACTTGTCGTCGGCGTGTATGGGCAAGGATCGACCACACTTGTTCCGGCCATTATCACCTTTGGTGATTCGGCGGTTGATGTGGGGAACAATGACTATTTAGCAACCATCTTCAAGGCTGATTACCCTCCTTACGGCAGAGATTTCGTAAACCATGAAGCCACTGGGAGGTTCTGTAATGGAAAATTAGCCACTGATATCACTGGTATTCTCTCTCTCTCTCTCTTAGAATAGATTTACTGTAATTCTATCAATGGTGCCTACTTTGGAGATATAGGAAGTAATGCCTACAGCATATCCCGGCTTTGTCCTATAAATTCATCACCTTCAGCCACCCACTGGGCCATATTCCAGCAGAAATCATATCAATCTATATATGATCCTACTGATATGATGTTCAACTGAACTAAGGGCTTGTTTGGTTCATGGGCATAGGGGTCTTGAATTAGAATTGGATGGCTATTCTGGTTTCAACTATTTTGTTGGGTGGAATTGGAATCTGTTTCCCATCTTTAGTGAGATGGCATTCCCCCATTTAACGGAAAGGCCATTTTCTCCCTTCCCTTCCCTTTCTTTCCTTTTCAGCTGTCCAATTCCCATTCCGATTCCTGTTTGAATCAAACAGACTATATATGGGAATAGATCATTCCAATTCCAATTCCAAAAGATTTTGACCCCAATTCCAATTTGATTATAACTGTAAATCAAAAGGACCCTAAAAATCTATTTGATTTGCAGTTGAAATTAATTGGAATTGAAATCCGAATAAAAAATCCCTTAAAATCAAAATCAGAATAATCCATATATTCCCGTAACGCGTTTGTTTCACATAAGAAACAAAACAAGAATTAGAATAAGCTAGAATGGAATTTCAACCATTCCCTCAGATGGGGGAATTCCATAAGTGTGGATTGGGATCCAAATTCCACCCAACCAAACAATTGACCAATTCCAGTTCCATATCCCTCCCTATTCTCGCGAACCAAGCGGCCCTAATTCTTACGAGATAGCATACCAGGCCACGAGGTTTATCACCAATTCAAGTAATGTTTCCTCGGTTACAGAATGACAGAGAATGAATGGTTTTTAACTAAAAGAGTCAATGTGGTAGCTAGTTATGTATGTATATATTAGTGCTCATCAAATTAAAACCAACTGATGTTATGATGCCTCACAGAGCTGCAATTAATCTGTCTAAAAAAAGAAAGAAAGAAAAAGTGACCCCTTGTCTGAAATTTTACTGCTCGCAGCTGAAACTCTGGGCTTCAGCACTTACCCTCCAGCGTATCTTAGCCCCAAGGCATCGGGGAAGAACCTTCTAATTGGAGCTAATTTTGCTTCTGCTGGATCTGGTTACGATGACAAAACATCTCTCTTAAGTGTAAGATCCAAATTAATTAATTTCATTTATATATAAGCACCAGTACTACGTACTTATATCAGCCAAACAAGCATGAACTATATTTCTATTTGAGTATGTAATAGTGTGATAGATTAATTAACGGGGTGTGAAATGTGAATGGTTACGTTATGAATGAATGTGGATGGACATGCGCATGCAGCACGCAATCCCGTTGTCTCAACAGTTGGAGTATTACAAGGAATACCAGGGGAAGCTAGCGGAGGTGGCTGGGAATAGCAAAGCCACATCCATACTCAAGGATTCACTCTACATAGTGAGCGCCGGTCCCAGTGACTTTCTTCAGAACTACTACGTCAATCCTTACATCAACAAACTATATACTCCCGATCAGTATTCATCCTACCTTGCTGGCATCTTCTCCGACTTCATTGAGGTTCGTTGCTTAATTAATTAATTACTACTTCTTCCATCGCCATGCATGATTCCTTTTATCCGGTGGTGATGGTGGCCAGCTGGTATTAATTATATATTGGTACTACTCGTTGTTAACGAGAATCTTAATTATTTTGTTTGACAAAATTGAACGACAGAGCTTGTATGGATTGGGAGCTAGAAGAATTGGGGTGACTTCACTCCCTCCTTTGGGTTGCCTTCCAGCAACAATCACTCTGTTCGGATTTGGAGACAACGGGTGTATCTCGAGGATCAACACGGATGCCCAGGGTTTCAATAAGAAGATCAATGCAGCTGTGACCAAGCTTCAGAAGGAACACACTGACCTCAAGATTGCCATATTCGACATCTACAAGCCTCTCTATGATCTCATTCAATCTCCTTCTAAATATGGTATATATTGATGCACACACTACACCTACTTATATCCCGATTTATTCTGCTCTGAGAAAAGGCAGTTGCTGTGCCTGTGTGTCATGCATTTTCTCAGAAAACTTTTTTTTTTTAATTTTTTATTTGGGATTAGATCTTGCTGATTATTTAGGCATTTTTCAATGCTACATTGCTAAAAACAGTAAGAAAAAAAAAGGAAAAAAACACCAAAAATAAAGTTTTCTCGGACTATACCTATTCTGATTTTCAAGAAATGGTCTGAGAAAATGGTTTTAGAAAAAACATATAACCAAACATCAGACGTGACATTGATGTGGCATCATTTTTCAAGAAAACGGCATGGGTTCCAAACACTGCCTAAAGAAACTGATTTTCTCATTTCCAATTTAACAAGGTTAATTATGTAGAGACGAGTTTGGCTTTTAATTGAATCTTAGAGAGTTTGACTGTAAATTGGCCCACGGCTGATAGGTGATAGCTGAAACACCACCAGCACCAGCTAGCTGTGGCAAAGGGGGACCGTTTCCTTTCAGAGATTGAGCCCACCCCACTTTCTAAAATGCAGTTGATGGGATTTAATTTTGAAAAATAAACCATCTCTTAACGAAACTATATGCTGATCCATCCAGGAAGTTGAGCTTTTTATATTCTCGATCACCTTCATGATGAATTGCATTGACTAGTTATGACTGTATATTGCTATAGCCTATCGTCTCTAAATATATGGGTCTGGCGACAGCTTTAATTTAATATTTTAATTTGTATCACTACCATACTGCCATATATAACCAGCCAACTTGATGGTGACTATAGAATGTCAAATGAACACAAACCGTCAAATTTGTCCAAACTATCAACTTTAATGGTTGATTCAGATGGGACTATATAATTAAGTAAATAGTGAACCATTATCCCCTGCAACTATATATATAATCCAAGTTATCTTACATGGTTGTCGGTGGTGTTTGGACAGGATTCTTCGAGGCAAGGAGGGGCTGCTGTGGAACTGGAACCATAGAGACAACGTCGTTTTTATGCAATCCCAAGTCACCGGGGACATGCTCCAATGCAACCCAGTACGTGTTCTGGGACAGCGTCCACCCATCTCAGGCTGCAAATCAGGTTCTCGCCGATTCATTGATCTTACAGGGCATCTCCCTTGTTGGATAACTATACTGGGTGTTTAGAGCAAGAGCTTGTAATAATCTAGCTCAAGTGTTGATCGATATGTTTTCGTTATAATTAATTATATATCCTTTTCCTTTTGTTGTCTAGTATTTTTACCAAAGGAAGATTGAAATGTTGTTTATCTTTTAATTTGTAATAAATCTGGAGATTTGGGTTTTCTCTTTAGCCACCTGGCTAAAATCTAGCTAGCTAGCTAACACTGAATTGGACAACCTGGAAATGTTTAATCTATCGTACGTGGTCTGTTATAATTGTTTGACTTTGATCTGGGCATGATTGTTTAGTTATATTACAGTCCATTTTACCTCAGAATTAATTCCCCAAATGTATTTATTCCCACCTCCCCTTCCGATCACAAGTTTGTATAAACCATTCAAAATATGGCAAAACCCACCGAAACGCTACTTACTAGAGTTTAAACATTAAAGCCCTTCCTAATGTATTTATCTGTGAGATATTGGACTGAACAAATAATTAAAAAAAAAGTTTAACGAAATTTAAGACAAGCAACCGTCTGATCAACATTGTTATTATCATCTAAAACTCCCCTCCCAAAGTCCTCCCTCGGTCAAACAGATATATTTAATTATGACCTTGACCAATCAAACAGTTACATATATAACAGAACTGGTCCACATGTGCCATGACCTTGACCAATAAATCTACCCTTTTAATTAGTCTTAATTAATATGCTAAAAAATACCCTAAATCACGTATTGGAAATCAGGAAAGTGAGAAAATATTCTTTTTTTTTTTTTAAATTTTCTTTTTGTTTTTTACTGTTGCTAGTAAATATAAAATGCTGACGCAATGTTGAAAAACGCCTATATAACAATAATGATTCTAAGAACATACCTACACAGCACCATTTCTGGTGTTGTAGAGAGACACCACCAGTTCGAAAATATTCGCCCATCAAGCCATCAAAGAGTTCAATTTCAGGGAATTAATGGATGAGCCAGTCCTTTGAGTTTTGGTTTAAGTGGTGGAGTTGAATAGAGGGGTTAGCTTTCTATATCTGGCAAGNAAACAGTTGGGATCGGGTAGATACAGCATTGAAAGCACGATAAATGAGTAGTTAGAAATTTTTTTGACACTTGATTTATCCCTTAAAATACCCCAATCTACCCTTAAAAAAAGATGAATAACCCCGGTCACAATAGTGGTGGTTAGTGAAAGTGGTCCATTTGATCTTATTGTTAATTAATCCAGAAGGTGCATGCTGGCCTAGAGAGATTCACATTGTTAATTAATCCAGAAGGTCCACGCAACAACCACACCAAGTGGGGCTCAGCGGTTGATCACATACTCCACATTGTATTAAGCCACAAAACTGAACGAATGTATGGGTTGGTTTATGCTATACAGTCTAAGATGGCTTTGGTAATAATTAAGTAAATTCTCTGTATAAACGGACCGCCTGAAAGCGGCCACGCAGCCTCCAGACTGGAGCTAAACTATACTCCATTTTGGCCACGAAAGCAGGATTGAGGATGATTTGTAAGATGAAGGTTCAAAGTATCAGTATGCCCATACGTATGAGGAGCGGATCCCGATCCGCCCCTGTGTATTGACAGAGGTGTATTGGTACTAAAAAGCACACGATTTTATATATATATATATATATATATATATATATATATATATTTTATGTTTTTTCTTTTCAAAATATGGATTTTAGGGAGGTTTTCATACATAATATTATTGAAAAAAGAGGGATTCATCAGAAACACTTGTAAACAGGTGTATTGAAATTTTGAACCTTGTGTAAAAAACATGCTGACACAGGAGAGAGTATGGTACTGGGTGGAGTTAGCGAAAAGAATTTCTAGGTCAAATTTTGGATGAGGGAGAATTGGAGGTTGTTGCCACGGTTTCAGTGGGGAGAAAAGGAAAGAAGACGGTTCAGCCCAGGATTATGGCAGTGGATGATCCTCTGGTTCAAAGGGAAGAGTAAAAAACGGATGCAATATATAATGGAAGAGGTGCCTAGGACTATAGAATCCAGTGTAGAGAAGGATGTTCAATGTGGTTGGGTTTACATTTCTGGGGTAAGGAAAAGTTCTCTAGACCTATAGAGAGGCTTTCCGAAGGTTTGAGGAAGAAGCCGATCGAGAAGGTGTGAGAGAGAAAGAGATCGAAGAGTTGACGGTGATGAAAAAGACTTTTTGGCAAGTAGTGAGGGCTTCAAATTCGGGGAGATATATTCCTTTGGCAGTAGAAAGTTACAAAGGCTCGTAGATTTCTATGTGGATAGTACAGTGGTAGTAAACATTAGAGGGAAGGGGTAGAGCCGTAGAGGGAGAGGAGGAAAAGGAGGAAGAGGTTTAGTTTGGGAAGATGCAAAGGTTTCTGTTTGTTTTGTAGAGTTTTTTTGAGCTTTTTGTAGTGCTGGCTCCTTGTAATTTACGTTTTTTCCTTTATTTTTCAAAAAAAAAAAAATATATACATATATAAATTAATTCATGCACGCTTACGCATAACTTACGCACAAAGATTAACACCACATTTAACTGTTTAAGTATTTAACCCAAAAACATGGTCCCACGAGAAGCCTTTAAAACTTCTGCAAATTTCATGAGCTCTAATTTATCCAGTGCATCATCTTGGTCATGATGAAGAAGCGTATAATTTGGAGCAAAACCACGAGCTCTATCCTCATCACTTGGAACAATTCCCTTGTATGAGGTTTCTTCATGAGTACTGTTTCTCATTCTCCGAACAAATTCAACATCGTCGAGGCTCAGAGTCCTTGATCTTTCGGTATCCAAAGATGACCTTGACCTGCTACGAGATGGAGTTACTTCACTCCTCTCTTCATTTCTTTCTTCTGTTACAGCTGTTACTGTATAAGAGGTTGCTGAATTACTACTTGAGAGACGGCAAGGAGAAAGGGTGTCGAAAGAATAAATTCCCATCATATCCTCAGATGTAGTGCTGGGGGCAGGTGATCTCATAAATGCAGAACTAGTAATAGTCGTCAAATTTCTGTCCGACGTTGTCGATGATGAACTAGTCGGCCGATCACTGCTATTATTACCTTTCTTCCCCACTACAAGCTTCTTAAGCTTGCGAAGGAATTTCCTTTTGGTCGAAGTGTGGGATTTGGTGGAAGGTTGAGTGTCACAAGAAAATTCACTGCAATCAGCAATGGAGGCCTGAGATGATGAGCGACATAATTCGGAATCGATATCAGTCACCACGCCCTTACCACCAATCCCCTCTGAATTTGCATATTCGAGTATCAGCTCTTTGGCTCTCTCCTGTGACCTGGGACTCATGGTCTTGCTTAGGTCCCTTGCTACCATTTTACCAGGTGGAGGTTGATAATTTCTCAGTTCAAATCGTAGGCAAGCATTCACCCACCGGAGATAGACCAGCTCCTCCACATCTGCAAAGTGATCTGTTTGGAGCCTCTCAAGCTCATTTGTTAAATCGGAATTTTGTTTTCTCAATTGATTGTTATCTTCACGCATCGCTTCGGTCTGCAATATTGCACGGAATCCAGAGAGTCATCATTTCATAATGAAGAGGTGCATATATATATATATATATGTAATAATTAATGGTTACGTTCAAATTGAAGATCAGAAGTAGTACTAATGGATGAAAGTGCGTGATTAATTACCTCTGCAGGCTTCTCCAAAACATAAGAGGCAAGGATTTGATCAGTAGATTTCAACTTACTAGCCAACTCGGAATTTTCACTATGCAATCTTAAGTTAGCCTCCTTGAGTTGTACTAATTCATCCTCTAATTCTTTTAACCTCTGCAATTTCTCTTGGATTACAGCATCATTATTGACAGCCATTCGCTCCTGATCTTCCAAGTATGCGACTTTCTTTTGAAGAATGTAAAGCTGTTCCCTGCTTTGCTCTGAAATGGACCTAATCTTCCTCTTCATCAGCTTTATTTTTTCTCTTGCAGATTCAAGATCGGCCGTTACTCTTGTATAATCGGCCACTTGTAGCTCCAGTCTCCTTTTATCAGCCTGCAAGGACTCAATCTTGAGATCGAGAAACCTAACCTCCATGTTATTAATCTTCAACCGATTCTGGAGATCCATCACAACAGTCTCCTGCTCCCTGAGGCCACAGTACTCAAGCAATTGAATCTCATGGTTCCTCTCCCTCTCGTGTAGAAATCTGACCATGTTCTTCAGGTTGAGGATCTCTTGCTCAGTCTCATCCTTGTCTGCTGCCTTCTTAAATTCCATACTTGTCTCTACATCCTTCCTTGGAGAAATCCCAGAATTGCTGTAGGCAGTTAGATCAAACTCCTTGAGCACAAGCTCATTAAACTCTGGCAACAAGACTCCTTCATCCCCAGGATGTTTACTTCTTGGAGAGAGGCTAACAATGTAATTATCTGAGGTGATTTTCTGATGAGATGCCATTTCCTATGATAGACATACATTTTGTCCCATAACCACATATAACAAGGCTAATGAAAGAAACATGCATGGAAACATATTTAACTCGTTTCATCCCAATAAATTAAGAACATAAAATATCCATTATCAGGGTTTAAAACCAAATGTTGAAACTATGCAGAAAAGACCAGCAGAAACTCCAAAAATAAAAATTAAAAAAATTTGCTCCGCCCCAGAAGAATAAATTAATGGGGTGTCTATGGGAAAACAGATTAATAATTAAAAAAAATCTTACGTACGTAGTTCTGGAATACAATAGAAGCATGGCTACAGGAATGGGGCGTTGCTTGCACGGAACGAATATCTACTTTCAGCCCGGCTTTTCCATCTGAGTGAACTTTGCTGCTATCACCCAAGGCTAAATTCAACAAGAACAAACTTTGTTGGATTATCGACCATTTACATAAGCTCACTGAAAACAAAATTAAAGAAAAAAGCAAATAAAAATTAATAGAAAGAAAGGAGAAACCACCTGGAGGCAAGGGAGGAGCGCAGGAACAACAAATCCTTCTGGTGGTTCTAATACGGGAATAGAGAAACCCGGCAAAAGAAATTACCAATGCCAGCCCGAATTTTAAGACTAGAGGTCTGATATTCGTCTTATCTTCCATCATCATATGCGTAAGCATCTTGACAACAATCTCCCGTTATATTTACGAAAAAAACTTATGATCTCCAATTAAATTAAACCGTAATTAAGGATTATTAAAAAGAAAATGTATAAATCCCTGTTGGTTCTACAGAGAGGGAGAGTTGAACCGAGAGAGACGGAGCTTCGGGAAGAGATCACTAAAGGCATTAAATGAAATGGAGATGTAAGGATAGGAGCTCTCAGAAAGCCAAAGACTTGGTTTCCTACATCTTTGCGTGTAATGCTCCGAAACGTTTGTGGGTTGGAGGAAATAGTTGTGTAGGAAATGCACGGCCGGAGAATCCGATTTGAATGTTTCAGAAATAAAAAACAAGAATGAATTTATTTCAACTTCAAGACAGTTAATTCTGATTCCGAGTTGTCAGCTAATAACCAAAATTGTAGCTGACTTCTTGATATCCTCTCTCTCTCTCTCTCTCCCCTCTTAATTTTTTTTCTTTTTTATTTTTATTTTTTAGTCATGGATTCTCCTCATCTCCTGCTTAATTTTAGAGTTAAAATGGGATTTTTTTGGTTTCAAAAGCTTGGACGTCCGTACTAAGCGATAACGGGTGAGCAACTGAGCATTTAGTTTATTCGGTTCGAATTTTAAAAATTAAAATAAAAATTAAAAACCTAATTGAAATTGAATTAGCAAAAAACTGAAATAACCGAAATCAAAATTTTTTATTCGGTTTTCGGTTATTTCAGTTAAAACCAAATTTCAATCTATATATAATAATATATAATATATTATGTTTCATAAGAATATATTATATTATATATTATACATTATATAACAAAATTCGATTATTTTGATGGTGGCTCAGTTGGAGTAGAGACCTGGGATCAAATCCCGCTGCCATCAGGGGTTGCAGGGTTAAGGGAAAGGGGATTAGCTACCCCCTCTTGTGTAGCCCCATGAAAAAAAAATTGATTATTTTGATTTTTTCAATTAACTGAATTTCTAATTTAAAAAATCCAAACCGAAACCAAAACATTAAAAACAAAAACAAATTAATCAAACCAAAATCAGTCAGTTGAAATAGTTGACGGATCAGTTTTAAAATATTTTGGTTTTTTTCAATATAAAATATAAAAACCTCCCTGACGTTTCCGACAATCATAAAAATCTTCCCTGTATTTTGACTTTAACAAATACCTTCCCTATAATTTTGAAAAATCATACAGTTACCTCCCTTTCATTATTTGATGTAACGAATTTAGTTTTTAAAATGCCATATTTATCATTTATGATGTTTTCTATATAAATCTTACGATAAAGTACTATTCATTCTCTTCTATCTTCAACGCTGCATCGAGTGAGGTGGATCTAGTGATCGAAGCACCTTCCACCGCTCTCAGCAACACCCAACAGATTTGAACCCTCGGTTTTCATTTCTAGAAGAAAAAAAGAAAAAAAAAAGTTAGGCCCTGTTTGGCAACGTTTTGTGAAAACGTTTTATGCGTTTCTGGTATTCTCAGGGAGTAGAAACGTGTTTGGTACAAGAAAAATAAAATAAAAATAAGGTGTTCTCGTGTGAGAACAGCACCCAAAGGATGTGTTCTTTGCGAGTGGAAAATTGGTGATCCCAAAGAATGTGTTCCCAGGGAACGTGCAGTTTTCACGACGTTCACCCCTATTAACGAACACGTGTTAACGACTCACACGTGAGAGAATGGGTATTTTGGGTATTTCGCACTAAATGATAGAAAGAAGCCCTATCAAACATTTTTGTTGGATAGTGAACTCTTCCAACTTGTCGTTACAAATCTCAAAAGGAGGGATTCCCTTGGCTCCAACAGGATGGCGAGCGAACGATAGAAAGCATCAGCGGCATTTCTAGCCAGGAACGCATCAACAAGTATGTTGTCTTGTCACTGTACCTGGTTTTGTATCGTGTGTTCTATTTTAAACTCACCTTTTTCTCTGGCCAAATTCACCTAAAATAATTTTTGCTCCCACTGCAAAGATGAGTTTTAAACAATCTCTAACCAATGCGATCTAAAATCGTTTTTCTTATTATTTTGTTTGCATTTGTTATGTGTTTTGCCGAATGGTTGTGGTTTCTTCTCTAATCCCATCGGTTGTTATATGTTATGCCGAATGGGTGGGGTTTCTTCTCTAATCCCATCATTGTGTTTTGTTATGTCTCTTGTTATATATTGAGCATCATGAAGATTGTCCTTTGTTATGTGTTTTATCCATGTGTTGGATTGTTATGCCTTTTAATAATAAAGTTTTTTTATAAGTAGGTACATGAAAATGATTTCATTTGGGTAGACTAATTCATACCCCATGATGGTGGCAAATATGTTAAAGTGCAAAAGAACTAATTGCACGAAATAGGGATCGATTTGTAGCCATTATTGCTTGCGAGTGTTGTTGCATCATGGCATGTTGGGATTTTGTTTTATTGCTTGTTTGTTTTGTATTGATCCTCAAGTGATCAAGGATTATGTGGTGACAACATGAAAACATCGCTATGACAATGACATGTGTTTTTTATGGTTAATTTTAGGCTTAATGTGGGTGGATTTGCAAAACTGATGTTAAGAAATAGTTTCATTATCTAAATGCTATTTCTATTCTTTTAGAACAAAAATTCGTTCTCAAAGAACAATCTGCCAAACGTATCTAGTACTCCTGCAGAGCAAGAAATAAAATTCTTGTTTTGGAATAGGAATTTGTAAAAGAACAGGAACAGATGAAAAACAGGGCCCTAGTCACTGCTAAGAAATGTTCTATTAGAATAATAGTAGTTACCCAAAATGCTTATGAAAGCTCGAAGAGCAACATTTGAAAACTAATAGACGAGGAAAAATTAGGGATCCTTTATTTGTGACAAGTTGACGGAATTTCAATAGTGGAGGATATATAGAGAAAAAGGGGGGGAAACTTAGTGTTTGCTCTATAGCTAGGGAATATCTCATAGCTTGAAAACATCTTTGCAAAGCATTTTCTACAGAAGATCCTTGGCTGCCGGCGAAACGGAATGGAAGATCCAAGTTGAAAGCTGAAGATTGGCACAGAGAACAACATCAAATATCTCCATCGCAAAATCACCATAAAAAGGCAGGATTCAGTTTCAGGCCAAAGTTATGTACATAACGATATATCCACACACTCCGAAAGTCCAAGAAGCACCTCTGGAACAACATAGTCGGAGCCCTAGTGATCCCCCTCATAGACTGAACCTCGTGAAAGCAATCGGTTGAACCAAAGTTATCAAGCTTCAATCTATTGTATGTGATCAACGAAAAAACACATTATATCAGGCTTGATGTCCCAATGAGCAACACCATGCCTGTGACAACTGATTAGGAGCAATCACCTTGATGAATCAATTTTTGGTGATGTATCAATTTTTTGTGCTAAGTACCTCGTCATCTGTCTGCTTCCAAGTGGCCGATGACTCAGAGGCCGAAGTGAACTTTTGCTGGATGAGGACCTGGATGCCAAGCTGACCAGGCCGAGCTGGGGGCAGATTAGGTGCCGATTTAACTAGGCTGAGCTGGGCAGGTTAGGTGTTGAACTGACTAGAACGAGCTAGGCAGGTTAGGTGACGAGCTGACTGGGCCAAGCTAGGCAGGTTAGGTGACGAGCTGACCAGAGGGCCTAGCTGCCTATTAGTTGTCGAGATGACCAAAGGGTCGAGCTGCCTGGTGGCGAGCTGGATTGATTGTTGAGTTTCGTAGTTCTTTAGAGACCTGCAAGGAATCAATGTCAGAGGATCCAGGGTGGCTAACCCGGCGAGGTCGCTCCGATGCTTAAGTCAATACTCTCATAGTAGACTGTAAGCTAAAATTCACAAAGTATGAGAGCTAGAATATGCTTACTTGCTCCCCCCCTATGCCATTGGGGTTGGTGCCTTTATATAGGCATTGTTTGGCGTGGGCTTCACGCACTGCATCCGAGATTTCCGAGAAGTCGTCTAAGTGGTTCGAGATTCCCTGAGGCAACCGCCATGCACGTTGACCACCCTCCGGATCGTTCGGCACGTGGGCCAACTTCCAAGGATCATGGGAGTGTTAGGATATGCATGCCGAATTTGTTGGAGAGCACGTCTCGCAGGTCGCCAGGTTGGCACCTGTGCCAAGTCGCCAGGTCGCGCCCGGGCCAGGCCACCAGTTCGTGCCTGGGCCAGGCCGCCAGGTCGGCGCCTGTGCCAAGCCGCCAGGTCGTGCCTGGGCCAGGCCGCCAGGTGGGACACCATCAACTTGGCTAAGGCAAGTTGTTGCCTAAGTGGTTCCGGGTGTCACCTAGTTGTTCTGAGGTGCTATGTGTCACAATATCATTGGAGGGCCAAATCCACCCTCATCATTTGCCCCCCACTCCCGAGCTGAAAGTAACTCGGCGAAGGGAGTAGATTGCTCATTTTGGCTTGACATGACTAATTCGATGAGCTCATAAGCGTCGATTCAATTCCTTAGGCTCTGGAAGCGACTCGCAGTCCACTCTCCTTACCCTTGATTTTGCCCATCATGAAGAGGCGACTGGGTCTTATGTGGTGCCGAAGTCTTTGCCAGTTCGGCACTTTAACCCTTAGGCTCTGGGAGCGACTCGTAGTCCACTCTCCTTGATCTTTGATTTTTCCCATGCCGAAGAGGCGACTGGGTCTTATGTGGTGCCGAGGTCTTTTATCAGTTCGGCACCTTAGAGCTATGGCTGCACTGCATCAGCCTCGTTAGTGACGTCGGTTACCTACTCCTACAAGAAGCTACTAGGAGCTCGACCTACGGGGGCAGCACTACTGACTTTAGGTCACCAGCTCGCACGGGAGCCTTGGAAGGCTTGACCGGCAGGGGCGTCCATGCAGTCTCTTGGCCGCATACTCCCGTGGAAGCCACGAAGAGCTCATCTTTGTAGAGGGTACCTCGCGAAGAGGATTGATGAGGCTGTATCTGAGTTGAAATAAAGTTGGTAGAGCTGTTTAGTCTATTGGCCATCAAATTCTTGCATAGCCTTTGAGTTCATAAAAAATGGAAACTAGAAAGTGAGAGCTTTTAGTTTCTAAAAGGTGAGAACTTAGCTTTATAGAAGAAGAGGACTTAGCCTTTTAGAGGATGAGAACTTAGTTTTTTGTAGCGTTTCCCACAGACGGCGCCAATTGATGAATCAATTTTTGGTGATGTATCAATTTTTTGTGCTAAGTACCTCGTCATTTGGTCTGCTTCCAAGTGGTTGATGACTCAAAGGCCAAAGTGAACTTTTGCTGGATGAGGACTTGGATGCCGAGCTGACTAGGCCGAGTTGGGGGCAGATTAGGTGCCGAGTTAACTGGGCCGAGCTGGGCAGGTTAGGTGTCGAACTGACTGGGCCGAGCTAGGCAAGTTAGGTGATGAGCTGACTGGGCCGAGTTAGGCAGGTTAGGTGACGAGCTGACTAGAGTGTCAAGCTGCCTATTAGGTGCTGAGCTGACCAGAGGGCCGAGCTGGATTGATTGTTGAGCTTCGTAGTTCTGTAGAGACCTGCAAGGAATCAATGTCAGAGGACCCGGGGTGGCTAACCCGGCGAGGTCGCTCCGATGCTTAAGCCAATACTCTCATAGTAGACTGTAAGCTAAAATTCACAAAGTATGAGAGCTAGAATATGCTTACTTGCCCCCCCCTATGCCATTGGGGTTGATGCCTTTATATAGGCATTGTTTGGCGTGGGCTTCACGCACCGCATCCGAGATTTTCGAGAAGTCGTCTAAGTGGTCCGAGATTCCCTGAGGCAACCGCCATGCACATTGATCACCCTTCGGATCGTTCGGCACATGGGCCAACTTCCAAGGATCGTGGGAGTATTAGGATATGCATGCCAAATTTGTCGACGAGCACGTCCTGCAGGTCGCCAGGTCGACGCCTATGCCAGGCCGCCAGTTCGACACCTGTGCCAGGCCGCCAGTTCGACGCCTGGGCTAGGCCGCCAGTTCGCGCCTGTGCCAGGCCGCCAGGTCGGTGCCCGTGCCAGGCCGCCAGGTGGGACACCATCAACTTGACTAAGACAAATTGTTGACTAGGTGGTTTCGGGTGTCACCTAATTGTTCTGAGGTACCATGTGTAACAATATCATTGGAGGGCCAAATCCGCCCTCATCACACCTCATTAGTGGCAACATAATAGCAGACGCTTCAACCTCGAAAAAAAAAAAATCCACTTAGAGACATGATCATAAATATCAAAAAAGTCACGTAGCTCCATCACGATGATCTTGGCTTCCTTCTCCAAGAATTCTTAATCTAGAGAATTAGAGAGAAGATGCATGTCAATGGTTTTGCAGGTGAAGAAATCGCTGGAGTTCAACAAGAAGCAACAAACCTAGTAATGACAATGAACAGTACTTATATTTCATCATTGATTTTGTAAGAAAAAAGCATTATTAAGGGCAAATATGATATTTTAAAAACTAAGTACATATATACTGTGTGGAAAGATATTTTAAAAACTTCTTTAGCACTCCTGCCAGTCCAAACTCCAAAGTACTTGGTTCTATCCTCAGCTCCTACTTCGTCTGCTTTTGCTTTAAATATTTTGTTAAAAGTATAACGTAGTTGCACTCCTGCCAGTCCAAATTGGGTCACCAATGAATCTTACTTGAAGAGGTCTCATCACTTACAAGGACAAAATTGGGTTTCTAAAATATTTAAACTTGCACCAGATATCACATACTAACGGAATTCGTTAGAATCTTTGACAAAACACGGTATGTTTTATTCTTTATGAGAAAACTCGGGATTTTCAAGTCTTTTACCAAAAACCAAAAAAAAAAAGGATTCGAAGTTTCTGATACCACAATAACAGGCAACAACAACGGGAAGCCAATTTTGGATCACCGACCAATAGGTTAATTGAGAATTGAGATTACCAAGAACGAATCTTCCGTGCAAGTGCAGCTAGCAAAATCATTATCTAAGATAGAAGAAAATATGTATACAAGTAGCAAATTCCCTCTCAGTGTACCAAGTGAAATTAACCAAAACTGACCAACTAGGAAATAGAGATTTACTGGTAGTAACAATGAAACTAATTGCCTACTAACAAAAACCAGAGTGACCATCGGGAGGGTCTCTATGTCACAAGCTCTTTGCTCACGGGCTTCCTGTCATCTGTGCAGTTCTCCCCGTCCAACAGTTGTGTGGGTGGTTCTTTTTCTCTTTTGCTTACCGTGATATCTTTAGGCTTCAAGAAGCTGGGCTGGTTGGTTGAAGAAAGCAGCCTTGCCCACATCCTGTCAGTAATCACGACTTTGTTCTGTTTTTCGGTCACACGCTGCACATCAGCCAAAAAACAGTCCGTAATCAGTATAGTCAAAGAAAGCTACAAATGTGCGATTTAATCAAATGGAATCACAAAAATCTTCTCCAGGAAACCATTTTCTCCTAGCACTTACACTTTGACCAGTTCTACCTGCTCTCAGAAGCGACTTTCTATAAATCTTGATATACTAAAACGATGGGAGGCTAAGTACATGAGCTCTTGTTTAGGAGAAAGTGACTACCAACTCATATACTATGACCAATGAAGCTCATGGGCAAGTAAAGAATAATGAGAACAAAGGTAGATTCCTCATCATCTATAACGAAAGGAAATAAAATTGATAACCTTCTGGTTGTCTATCCAAATATAATCTACTCATGTCTTGTTCAATGATGGATACGATTATTTGGTTTTAAAAGAGCAGATCACCGTAAAACTTCGAGTTTCCTATACATATGAATCGGAATAGGATGGTGGAGAATCTGAATGGACACGTCCATAACAACTACTATCTCAAAACAAAATTACAGTGGACTTGGGGTTAATTATTGCCACAGAAATTAATCAATACAACAACTAGGAAAAGATGGAAATCAGGAAGTGGAGGTGTGAAACATAGCAGCATTTTGTTACGAGTAAGATTAGGAGAAGCAACATGGCTGTGCATGGAAGCACTTGGATACACTTGCAAACAAATTTATACATGAAACTAAAGAAGAAAATATTTTGAAGGTATACATATAGGCCCGTTCGCTTTTCGGTAAGTTACTTACCCAGGTAAATGCAGTTACCTGAGTAAGTTTTTCCTGGGAAACACTTACCCGGGTAAATGCACTTACCCATGTTCTTTTATTTCTCATGTAAATAAGGCAATGACCATTTTAGCTATAAAAATCCATTATTAAAAGGGCATTTTTGTCCCATTCAAGTGTTGGCAACTTTCCCCATAGGTGGGAAAGTTAATTTACCCACCTAGGAGATGGTAAGTGATATCCAGGAAAATAAACTTTCCCTGGTCCCCACATAAATTCCATTGACCAACTTTCCCCCCTCTCAAAATCTGAAAAAAGAACGCCCCCATAAGAGAACTCTTCCATTGAACTCTTTTATGGTATAGAAAAAGTCATAAAAAGCTTTACACACATAAATCCTTGTTTAATACTTAATCAACCGACTAAAAGAAAAAGTATCAATGTGGATCATACCATTTAATGTCCAAATTATTCATTGGACCTTGATCACTATTTTCTAGGAGATCAGTTGTATTCCCATCTAACAACCTAATGGCCTAACAGTTGTAAGGCCAACTATACTGTATGGAGCAGAGTGTTGGGCAGTCAAGAAACATATCTAAAAAATGAGTGGCGGAAATGCATATGCTGAGATGGATGAGTGGCAAAACTAGAAAGGATAGGATCAATAGCTCCAATAGGTGATAAAATGAGAGAAAGTGGACTTAGTTTAGTCATGTGCATAGAAGACCATCAAATAGCACCCATAAGAAGTCATTTGTTGCAAGTTGAGAGGGGCCAAAAGGGCTAGGAATAGACCAAAAAGGGCATGGGTAGAATTAGTAAGAAATGATTTTAAGTGTCAATAATTTAATAATGGATATACATTAAACAGAATGGAATGGTGAAGCAGGATTCACATAGCCGACCACATATAGTTGGGATAAAGCTGGGATGATGATGAACCTAATGGCAATGGAGTTTTCTTGCTGAAGATTTTCAAATAAGAACTTAAATTTCAGGTCTCGCCATCATATGAATACTCACATGGAAGGGAATGTAAGCATGTCTTCCATTTACAGGTCCAACCGTGAAACCTGTGTATCCTGCAAATGCGCCATGAACTACACTATGAGCAAGAAGTGTGCAGTACACATTATCAGATGCATTACCTGGGACAGCACGAATCATATATGTTGGATCTGCCAGCCAGAAAAGGCACCACTTGGTTAGATAACTCTCTCTCTCTCTCTCTCTCTCTCTCTCTTGGGGGGTGTTTGCTAGGGGTAGGAGATGAGCAAATTTGACGCCCCCCAAAAAAATAATAAAATAAAAATACCAACCTATGTACTTTAGATTGATGATCATCTTTCTTTTCTTTGTGAAATGATCCTACAGCAATAAAACCAAGAGTTAGATATGCAAGCAACGTTCTGAAAATCCAAATGTTATTGTATAAATTGTAGACAGAGTTGAGTTTAATTGTATCAAATTATTTCTACTTCTTACATGTTTGTTAAAATATTAAACATGTTTGTTAAAATATTAAACATGTTTGTTAAAATATTAAAAAACAGAAACATGTTAAATTTAAATCTACATAGATAGTTAGAAAAGTGATCCTACCCTATTTTAACTTGTATGTATGTACTTAAAAAAAAAAAAGATTTTAGCACTTGTACACTGGAAGCCTAAGATGATACAATCATGTTCAACTTGAAAGTCATGTAGCCAATTAATCTACACATAGTGGTTCTTTAACCTATATATGGAAAATAAACTCAATATGGTGGTTTCTAAAAGGTCTTCCATAATCTACCTAAATAAACCATTTTCTAGCAGGAGCTTTAAAACAAGAGTCTCTTGAAAAAAGTTGAAACAAACAAAGAAACAACAAGTAGAGCACTACATCTTAATTGAATTGATTCAAATCACATGAACCATATAGATATTAAGACTTGTGAATCTAATTGTTGGATTCAAACAATAATCATAATATTTTTGTAGAAAAAGATTCATACATAAGATTCAAACTGGAACCCTTTGGATTCATGATTTGAATTGTGAATCACATTGTAAATCATAAGGCTTTGACAACTAAGAATGCAAGTTCATTTGCTTTTGCAAGATTTCTCAGGTCACAAAAGCATATATAATTAATACAAATTACAAAATGTTTCTCCCAATAGCTTCTTACTAGCACAACCAATAAGGAAAAAAAATTAAAAAACAAAACCAACAACAAGGTATCTCAATGTTTCATGGACTCTCCTAAATGGATGAAGTGTTTGTGTCAGAAACAATTTGGACAAAGACACTTTATGGATTCATGAAGGATGCTTCTACATGACATTTTTCCTTTTCTCCTTATTCAACATAAATTAACAGCAAATGTGCACAATGAATATCATTTTCCAATAAAATGTTATCAAGTAACAAAATTTATTAGGTCATTTTCTATAGGTTTCAAATGTTAAAATTCAACAAAATATGCACTTTTTAATTGTTGTGCTTTTCTATTATCTGCCTGCAAGTCCTTGTTCCTTCACCTTGCTGAGTCAGACTCCTCAACATGTGCTGGATTCTGATTCCCGTGTTTTTGTCCACACAACACTGAGGTAGATCAACCAAAATACAAATAACAGACAGTCCTTTGGAACATTTATCCTCAACAAAAATGTATATCACTCAGTCCAGATTGTGGTGCTAACACGACTAACTTGTTGTTCCCATAAAAGGATATTTGGAGTTCTATAACTTACTAAAATTCCCATAATGTTATACTAGAATGAAAAGAAAATGAAAATCTGAAAGGATCCTAGACAACATGGTAGAGGGATGAAATGGCTAGAAAGAAGGCCAGGTCCTATGACCATGGACCTTACAGCCCACACTCAAGACACCCATGACATCCCATGAACTTGGGCCCATTATTTGGCCAGCTGAAGTGGGATTAACCAGAGATTCTCTCAACAATTTGCTTTGATATTGTTAGAATGCTCGAGTCAGGGGTATTTTGGTCATTCTGGATTATCTGCTTGAGAGTGAAAGGTCTATTGTATCTGAGTTTAAGTTATGTGTCCCATCTTCYATRARGGACAAAATGGTCTTTCCTGTAACTCTATGTTTTTGAATAAATACAAGTGGGTCAGCTAGGGGAGAGTGATTTTGCCTCTCTTCTAGTCTGGCCGAACCT